CTATCACTCAGGCTGGAGTGCAGTGGTATGATCTAGGCTTACTGCAACCTCCACCTTCCAGGCTTAAGTGATTTTCATGTCCCAACCTCCCAAGTAGCTTGGACTACAGTTGTGTACAACCACAGCTGGCTAATATTTGTATTTTTAGTAGAGACAGGGTTTCACCATGTTGGTTAGGATGGTCTCGAACTCCTGGCCTCAAGTGATCCGCCCACCTCAGCCTCGCAAAGTGCTGGGATTACAGGCATGAGCCACTGTGCCTGGCCAGGGATGCTTTTTTCTATAGTCAAGTCTACATTTGCATTTTTCATCAGTGTTTTAAAGTCGTCCTCATTTTAGAGGGGGAGACGTTTTAGTGTTTTATTTTGGTAGTGTTGTTATTATAAATGGGGTTTCCTCTTCCATGATAACTTCTAAGTGGTTACTGTAGGTACATGGGAAGGCTATTGATTTTGTATGTTAATTTTATATCCTGCTGTCCTAGTGAATTCCTTTATTCTTTAAGTTGATTCTAACATTGATAATCTCAGATTTTCCAGGTACACACTAAAATGCTTGCAAATAAAAGAGACTTTTTCTTTTCCAATTATCAGAGCTCTAATTGTTTTGCATTGGTTAACACCTTCAACATAACGTTAAGAGTGGTTATTATAGTGAGCGTCCTTGCCTTATTTCTGACCTCAATTGAAATGTCTATTGTGTTTCCACATTTTAAAAGTTGCTAGCTTTAGGACTTAGGTGTAAATATTTTATATATTTTATCTTTGATCATAACTTTCATCATCTAAAACACTGGGTTTTTTTGTTGTTTTTGTTTAGCTTCCAGAAAAGCGTCCCACATTTCAGCAACTCCTGTCTTCCATTGAACCACTTCGGGAAAAAGACAAGCCTTGAAGAAGAAACTAGGAGTGCTGATAAGAATGAATATAGATGTTGGCCAGCATTTTCATTCATTTTAAGGAAAGTAGCAAGGCATAATGTAATTTAGCTAGTTTTTAATAGTGTTCTCTGTATTGTATATTATTTAGAAATGAACAAGGCAGGAAACAAAAGATTTCCTTGAAATTTAGATCAAATCAGTAATTTTGTTTATGCTGCTCCTGATATAACACTTTCCAGCCTATAGCAGAAGCACATTTTCAGATTGCAATATAGAGACTGCGTTCATGTGTAAAGACTGGGCAGAATTGAAAAATTACTTATTGGATAGTCATTCTTTTCTTTATATTGTCACTGTCACAACAATTAAATATACTACCAAGTACAGAAATGTGGACATTTGTCTTCATATTTCAATGTTTTCAAACTTCAGTAGGCATGATGATAATCAAATGCAGAGTTTATGAAAAGATTCCTAGAAACTACCTCCATAAAACCTGGCGGAGGAGGTCTGAGTGCAGCCTGTGAATTTGTATTTTTAGCAAACTCCCAGATGTTACTGAAGCAGTTGCTCTGAACTGCCCTAGGGGACCTCATTACATGGTGGGGTATCATGAGGTGGTCCATTATTCAATCCAAATGGCACAATTCTCTCCTAATATCCAGATTAGTACAATGACTCTTAATGTCATGTATAAAACTAAAGTTAAATAATAGCAAATAATATATTAAATATGTTGCACATAAAGCAAGTTTTTTAAGATGCTAAGGTATGATTTCTAGAATTAATTACATTGTTGCTTTCTAATCATTTTAAATCCTTGAGTTTGGGGATCTGGGGCTTCTGGCTAGTTTGAAAACTGAAGTTATCAGTCTGCTATCTTAACATAAAAATACAGAAGTACTATTTTAGCTTCTCATGCCTATTACTAAATAGTATTTCAGCTTTAAAACTGCACCTGGGGATGCCCTTCTTCACGGCCTGCTACTGAACTCACTGGTTTTAACCTCTTTCCGAGTATTCCCTTGTCTTTTCTATAACGTCAAGAAGGGAGAGACCGATTCTGTAGAGGGCACCATTACAATGAAGAGACACCCCAATTATATATACCCTGCTGCTATTTTCCAGAGATCAGTCAATAATCTCTCAGAGACGTTTATATCCTCTCTCATCCCACTCTGTCCTTCAGCCACCAGCTAGTTTCAATGCTCCCTCTTGCTTATTTGTTTCTTCACATTTCATTAATAATTCCTTCATTTCAACAGAGAATTGACACTCGTTAAGTCTTCTATTTTTTACAGAGGCACACAAATCTCAATTTATAATGAAATGTAACTCAAAATAATCACTAGGGCATTTGTATATTTTATTTTTGTAGTTTTTTTTTTTTTTTGGTAGTATTGACTGTATGCTAGGTTCTTTCCTACCCAAGAGAAAAGAAAGACCAGGTGACCCAAACCCTCTGTCTCAATGGACCCACTGTCCGATGGGGGTGCCAGCCTTTCCTGCACCACAGACTGTTTCCCCACTCAGAGGATGAGCTCATGCACAAGCTGGGTCTTTCTGGTCTCCCTCTTGAAGATTTTTTTCCTCTCTTCTTCTTATTTTTGTATATTTACCTTTTAAAAATAATCCTCTTTATAACAAAATACACGCTTGTGGCAAAAATTCAAACAATACAGAATTGTTTACTATGAAAAGAGGCCAAAGCCCTGCTTAGAAGCCTAGCTGCAAAAATCAAGTCAGGCAACAATGTAAGGTACCACTAGAGGTTTATCAGAAAACAAGTCCAGTGATGCTAGGAGGAGCCAAGTAAAAGAACACTATTCATAGTATTTCAAACATGCATAATGATTTTTTTAATGCCGTATAACTGTGTTTAGTGGTGATATCCAGAATTTATTATTGTTATCTTAAACCAAGAGTCTGCCTATGCTCTTTTGGCAGTGAAGAAAAAGGAAGACTATGTGGTAAGAAACGTTCCCAAAGGGCAGGCTGCAGAGCAAGTTCCGATAAGTCACTTGCTAGGTAAAATCCAACAGATGCTCCCCAGTCTTGCTGAGCATTTTCTGACCTGCCAGAAGTCAAACACAAAGTCAAGAGGGTCTGGCAAAACTCACCTCACATCTACTTGAGTTCATTAAGATTCCAACACAGTAGATTTAGCAAGTTGAGTTTCTCAGTTTTTATTCTATCTTGGGAGTGGGTTTATGAGGAAGAGAGATTGGACTTACGGCCCCATCTTTACCTAAATGTGGAGGGAGGAGGGTCTTAAATGAGGAAGAATAGTTCACTGAGAGACACCAGAGAAGAGGAAGCTAGCACCTGCCCTTTCTGGCCTGATCACTATGTTTCTCTGGTCTGTGAGCTCCACAATGGCCCTTTTGCATTTGCAGTTTCATTTAATCCTTGCTTCCTTATAGCCCAGGGTTTGGCGAAGTTTGTTTGTAAAGGGCTTTGTGGGCCATGCCGTCTCTACTTCAACTACTCAGTTCTGCTCCGTAGCATGAAAGCAGCTCTAGACAATATGAAAATGAATGGGTGTGGCTGGATTTCAATAAAACTTTATTTATGGACACTGAAATTTGAATTTCATATCATTTTCATTTATCATGAAATCTTAATTTTTTTCGACCACTTAAAAATGTAAAAATCACTCTTAGTTCACAGACCAGACAAAAACAGGTGGTGGGGTGGCCGGGTGCAATGACTCACGCCTGTAATCTCAGCACTTTGGGAGGCCAAGTCAGGCAGATCACCTTGGTCAGGAGTTGGAGACCAGCCTGGTCAAATGGTGAAACCCCATCTCTACTAAAAACTACAAAAAATTAGCTGGGTGTGGTGGCACACACCTGTAGTCCCAGCTACTCGGGAGGCTGAGGCAGGAGAATCACTTGAACCTGGGAGGCAGAGGTTGCAGTGAGCCGAGATTATGCCACTGCACTCCAGCCTGGGTGACAGAGCAAGACTCCGTCTCAAAACAGAACAGAACAAAACAAAACAACCCAAAAAAGGTGGTGGGCAGGATTTGGCCCATGGGTCATTGTTTGCCAACTTCCATCCTAGGCCCAGGCACCGGTCCCTCTTTGTAGTGTCTCCATCCTTTCAGAGGGTGCTCCTACCCAGGAAAAGGACCACAAGCTTTACCCGGTGGGCACAGTGAGGACTGTTCTAGAGAAAACCCCAAAATTAAGTTATGGAAATAAGCAGGTTTTTCTTTCTGTGTTACAGTTGGACACTATGTGACATGCACATGGGTCCTTTGCCATGTCTGGGGAGGCTCTTTTGAAGGTGTTAGATGATGAAAGTGGTTCCTGCAGAAATTATTCTTGCACTGTGTTGAAGCAAGACAAGGACTGAGAACTTCATAAAGACCATGTGGCAACTACAAAGGATGTTTAGATAGCAGTAGCTTGAAAGAAGATTTTCATGATATATTAGAGAAGATGGGACATATGCAAGATAAAAGAAAAAAACTGTCTATGAAATGGTTGCTTTGCCAAGGAGTAAATTATGCTGTGGGCCCAATGAATGGCAGGATGATGCAGATGGCGATATGAAATGTTGATTGTATCTCACAAAATAACAAAGAACTCTATCTCTGCTACCTGGGTATCAGATAATTAAGACATCAAAGAGCCTCAAATGATCCTTATTTTGAGGCTATTTTATAGATTATGAAAGTCATCTTCCCCTGACTTGGCTAATTGATCCACCATTACCACAGAGAATTTATGAAGTACAGTCATTCTAACACTATGCTGGTCACCATACAGAATGAGTTAATGGGTAGAGTTTGGATATGTTAACCTATTTAATCTAGTTTTAATCAATCTTCAGGTATCTAAGAAATTCTGTGCTCACACTGGGATAGTGACTGTGAGAAATATAAAAGCAGCATCAGGTTTGGTTCCCAACCTGGTGGTGTATACACTCTGTACACAACTTTTTTGGGACTAATTTTACAATTGCTTTCTACAATAAAGCGATCTGAGAATTTGCAATATATCACGAGACATTTGGGAGGTCAGGAGCCCCAGACACACAGATGATAACTTTGTTCATAGAAGTGAAAAGCAGACAAAATGTAAAGAAGCCCCAGCACATAAGTAAGCATAAGGAATGTGCAAATGTAGCATTTATTGAGTGTCTGCTTTGTGCTCAGCACTACTCAAACACTGTGGGCAAATACAAAAGATTTAAGAGACTGGATACCCACTTCAGAGGGTGAACATACAGTTGGAATTTCCATTCACTCCACAGTTAGAGAACAGTGGAAATGAGTTTCTATCAGGCATGCTCTGGGAGCTCACGGAGGCCCCTGGCGCTAGTTTTGTGTTGTCAGGGAGATGTTGATCAAGCAGCTTGGAAGTGAAAAAGCAATGTCCTCTACCTGTTCCCTGGATTCTTCTCTCTTTAGACCTGTCACCTCGAAGAAAGCGTGATCTATTCCAAACATCACTGTAGGCAAATCACCATAGTACTTGGATTAAGTTAATGTGAAGAAAGCATGTCATCCTTGACAATGGATTAAATGAAAGTGAACTAGTGCATGCCATTCTCAATCCTTGCAGCTGCACTGATTCCCAGGCACTCTCCTTACAAGTGATCCATCCATATTCCATACAAGGTCGAATACTTGCTCCCATGATATATGCTTGTTTTCAACTTCAGAAATTCAACAGACATTTACATTTCGATTATCCCTGAACAGCCTGTGAGACCAAATACACACTTTCCCTAATACACTCTAATACAAAATCCTTACTAGGAAACAGAATAGAAGTCAAATCCAGAGACAGAAATAAATACTGAAAGCAATGTCAATGAAGATGCTCTCTCCTTGACCATGTTGTCTTTGGACAATTTTTTTCTGAACAGATTCATAGTTTTGACATTTAATGATATCTTTATCATCTCATATGTTCTATACCATGAAATTAACATTTACCTACAACAAAATCACCTGAAGAGGAAAAACATAGATTTTTCTAAAAGGAGGTCTGAACATCATCAGTGTTTTGGAATCCTGGATTATTTTCTCCTTTGCTAATATCGATGGAGGCATAAGGATTTTCTTCACTTCTTGCTTGATTTTTCCTGTTAAATAGAGCAAGGTTGCCTTAATATACCTATGTTAAAATCAATCGGATCGATGAAGATCAAAAAGTTTGAGGGTACTCTGTGTTAAGGAAGCTGGGTGGGAGGAACAGGAAGTTTCATAAACTATTGATGTGAGTATAAATTGGTACAGCCGCTATTGAGGGCAATGTGGCAATATTGATCAAAATCAGCAATTGCACGTGTGCTTCGCCGCAGTTTTCCTGCTGCTAGGATTCATCTTACGGGTATATTGGCACACACAGGAAATTACCTATATGAAGCCATCACAACTCTTTTTAAAGTAAACACAAATATTTGGAAACAACATAAAAGTTCATTAATAGATGACTGTTTAACAAAATTACAATCCATTTGTGAAGTGGGAAATTATACTGCCAGAAAAAAGGAGAAGTTTTTTGTGCAACTAATGTGTAATGATCTCTAAAACACATTAAGTGGGCTGGGTGTGGTGGATCACACCTATATAAATAAAAATTTTAAAAAACCATTAAGTGGAAAACAAAATATGCAGAACATTATTTATAGCCTGCTAACATTCGTATACTAAAAAATAAGATATACATATGCACATATACACATATATACACTAAAAAAGTATATATTTGTATACTAAAAAGGAGATATATATATATATATCCGAGAAAAAAGAAAAAAAGACTATATATATATAACTCTCTCTATCTCTCTCTCTCTATATATATATGTGTGTGTGTGTGTCTGTGTGTGTGTGTGTGCACGTGTGTGTGTATCTCCAAGGAACTGATAATTTTGTTTGGCTTTGGGAAGAGAACTTGGAGGCAAAAGGTGATAAGGAAGACTCATGTTCATCTTTGTATTTTTTAATTTTAACTACATGAATGTGTTACACATTCAATGCCTAATTTTTTAGATGAAGCTATTTTGGGTAACCGAAAAATCTCTATAGTGAAGAAAATTGAGCAAAATAGACTAGCACATATAGAGATTCAATCAAGAATATGTTTAAACAACCTGAGGTGTGCATAGAGTTTTGTTAGGTGCTATAAAATATTAACCTTCATTTCATAAGCCCAGCAAGAGTCAATTTTTTAAGGACAGAAGAAAAACATCTAGTAGCAAAGCAAGACTAGAAATCAGGTCTCTAGTAATTTAAATCCTCAATGAGCTTTGATATTCAGTTCAGGAACAAATTAGAGCATGCCTAACCATGAACTGAGAGAATGATATGGAGTCTGAGCTACCCCATGAGAAATAAAGGTGAGTAAAGAGTAGCAGTTTGGGCAGGGCACGGTGGCTCACGCCTGTAACCCCAGCACTGGAGGGCGAGGCAGGCGGATTGCTTGAACTCAGGAGTTCAAGAACAGCTTGGGCAACATGACAAAACCTTGTCTCCACAAAAAATACAAAAATTAGCTGGGTGTGGTGGCGTACCCCGGTAGTCCCAGCTACTCAGGAAGCTGAGGTGGGACAATCACTTGAGCCTGGGAGATCGAGGCTGCAGTGAACTATGACTGCACCACTGCACTCCAGCCTAGGTGACAGAGCAAAAGACCCTGTCTCAAAAAAAAAAAAATTAAAAATTAAAAATTAAAAAAAAAGAGAGTAGTCGTTTGAAAGAAATCTCACAGCCCATTCTTGAACAATTTCACGGTTCAAACCCATCAGCAATCCAGTCTCCAACAATCTAGTCCCCACTTTTAGACTGAAAAGGATTCAGCAGTGAGAGCAGTAAGAACCATTCCCTGAGCCCAACCACACCTGCTGAGTTTGCAGTGCCTCTTTGCAGGAGGGAAATGACACTGTGGCTGGGATGGAGTTTACTAGGGCATGCTAATAAATCCCAGGCCAGATACTTACTGTGTGGGCTTACTAGGAAGGTGAACTGCTGATGACATCTAGTAAATTTCTAGGGAATGCATCAGAGTATTTAGGTGCAAAATTGTCCAACTGAGTAATTGGCCTATACAATCTACCACTTACTGAAAATTTTCCAGTTACTGTTCTGTAAATCTTTCTATTTTCAGATAGTTAAGTCTAGGAAAGGCCACTTACTTCTTTCGATCTCTGATCCCAGTGAAGATCAGGACGACAATGCCAGCCACTATCACTGCCATCACAACTCCAAAAACAATTAGCCATGTGGTAATGGGGGACTGGTAAGGAGGTACAAGTGTTGACTGTATCCCCAGAAACTCCAGGCTGTTGTCATTCAGCTGGAAAGCATCATTGATACGGCTCCTGGAGAACCTATTTGCAAAAGCAAAACATAGCAAAGGGGACACTTAGACAAAATAAAATTGCGTGTAGTTATTTATTCTTTATATCATTGTTCCTGAAAGGATTTAATAGAACTTATCATAAGAATATACACCTAGCCAGGCGTGGTGGCACGTGCCTGTAGTCCCAGCTACTTGGGAGGCTGAGGTAGGAGAATCGCTTGAACCCAGGAGGCAGAGGTTGCAGTGAGCCGAGATTGCGCCAGTGCACTCTAGCGTGGGCGACAGAGCAACACTTCGTCTCAAAAAAAAAAAAAAAAAAAAAAAGGAATATACACCTAAAATCATAATAGTAGCAAAGTAAATAAAGTCTAATTAAATATATAAGTCTTTGATAATTATGCATCTTTCATGCCTTGCAACCTAGATCAGGTTCATCAACAGCTCCACTGGAAAACTGAGTTGCAAGTGTGGAAATGTATAAATGGTTGGCATTTATTCATTTGTGACTGCTGTGTTTAAGTGCAAAGTTAGCATATTTGGCAAGAATTTCCCTTCTGTCAGAATACGTCTATGATGACTTTATATCAAATAATGGAAACGGATAATTGGATATACTTCTTCTATTATACAAATGAATCAAGTCCTATGACCAAGTCTCTATATAGTAATATTTTCCAAATAAAAGGTATTGGCATTTGGAGGTAGCACTGGGTAGGCACATAAGAAAGGGACCTTTGCCAGTTTCTTCAGCACTGGGGTGGGAAATGGCTGACTTTTATGGAGGCAAAAGGATAAAGATTGTTTAAACAACAACAATAAAAAAACACTGATATGGAGAACATTCTGGATCAAAGACCGAAGTGTCTGGCATCTCATCTTCCTACCCTTGGGTATAGCCCAGGTCAGGAGGTCAGAGTCCACCAGAGAGAGAGAGACAGCAACGCAGAATTAGTCAGGTAACCCCTAGCAACCTCAGCCAAAAAGGATCTGAAAAGAGTCATCCTGGAAACAGAGAGTTTGAGGTCCCCTGTAGCTTGCAGCTGAGTATCCAGGAAGGCTGAACTTCTTCATAAAGATCTCAGCTAGAAGTTTTCCCTAAGACAGACACAAGCCTTCTGGAGGCAGTAAGTGAGTCTCTGGGCACAGTTGGGTCATACATTCCAACCAAGCCAGATTTTCTAGGCACACCCTGCCCAGCAGGTCTTAGATCTGCTTCCAAAATTAAACAGGACTCTGATGCAGCTCGAGAGGGCCACCTAGTGAGCTGCCCAGAAGCAGTAGGTATATTATGCCTTTTTATAATGACAGGAAACCATCTGCAAGGTCGATCCATTTTTCACTCCTGCTGTCTGTTGCGGGAAACAATTGAGGCAAATTGGACAAACTGTTTCTTCTAAACATTCATTGCAAGTCCCTCACCTAGCGTAGAGGTCAAGCAATATGTAAGGAATGCTGTACTTGCCTAACTTGTTTCAGGCTTTGGGCAGTTAAATGAATCCTACATCAAAGTCCCTAGAGCAAATGACGGCAATACCTGTCCATGTCCCTTCTGCACTTACTGTTTTCCATGAGTTCTAGCCAGACTTTCTTTAACCAGCACCTGCTCCCCTTTACCAGAGAGCATTCTCAGACCACAAGATCTGCCCTGCCTGCAGGGCTGAAATGCTGGGGAATTAATGCCACCTGGAAGCAGTTCTCAGCCAATAACTGATGGGAGGTGGTAAATAAATACCCCAGCTTCCTCAGCCCTCTGATGGGACAATTCAGGTGCACATTCTACACAGTCTGTCCAGATTTCCCAGCAGGACTGAGCTCTAGCTGCCCGTAGTGGTAACTTGCTTGATAACATGTAATCTACAGTTTTCCTTTCCTTTTGTAAGGGCCTACATCTGGGGGAACTCAAATCAACATTATTCCCTTGCTGTGGGATCCTTCTAGAATTACATGGAGTTTGTAGCATGAAGTAACACATGTAAATGACTCAGAACAATGCTTGGCACACAGGAAGAACGCACAAAATACTGGTTATTGTTGCTGTATTTGTTAACCCCCTCGCCCTTAGATGAAAGTAAAATGTCACCTGATGGCCTCTTCAACTTCAGTTCTAGGAATGATGTCAGACACATTTTTAGGTGCAGTGACATAGAAATTAAAGGAGATTCTTGGTTTCAAATCAGCAACTCGCACATCCTCCTCCCTGTAGAGAAACAAAACAAACATCTTCACTTGTGGCACAGAGGATACAATAAAGAGAATGAAGACTTCCCCTGCTGGTGAAAAGGAGATGAGAGAGAGGATCACAGGGTAGAGAGACATGGAGGAGGGCAAACAATGGCAGGATGTAATTGTCAAAAAAAATTAATGCTGCCCAAAGCACACGAAATCAACTACATAAAAATGTGATATCAAGTCTTGACACTATTTGTTTGCCTTCATATGAAACCCACATCTTTTTCAATGATAGAAAATTTTCAAACTGACAACAGCAGGAGAATCAACAAGGAATAATTAGTGGCCCAGGATTGTGGCAAACAATGTGGTGGGCAGAGATGGCTCAGTACCACACACAGAGATTTACACCCACAGCCTGGTCCTACTCAGCAGAAAACGTCGTGTTGCACCCATGGGTGAAGGTAATGAGTGGGGTCTACCATATGATGTGACAAGACTGTGCTCTCATAGCTGTCAAGTGATCCTAGCACAAAATAAGGTAGATCATGTGGCTCATAGCCCTTCAGTGACTACCCATCTAACTCAGAATAAAGCCAAAGTCCTTAGAATGGCCCTCAAGGCCCACATGACCTTTTGTCTCTCCCTTCTTCCTCTATGCCCTAACATCATCCTGGCCACGTCTCCACTTGTCTGCTAATCTGCTCCAGCCACACTGGCCTCCTTGCTGTTCCTTTAACAGGCCGAGGATATTCCTTCCGCAGGGTCTGCACCTGCTGTTTCCCCCAGCTGAGACACTTTCCCCATTGTCTGCATTTTTCTCTCTCTCTCTCTGTCGCTCTCTCTCTCCTGCTTCATATACTTGTTCAAATAATAGTGATGTCTTTTCTGACCATTTTGGTTAAAATTGACATACCCCTTGCCCAGCACACACACAGACACACAGACACACACACACACACACACCAGCCCTCCCCAGACCCTTTTCTCTTATATTTTTCTCCTTAGCACTTAGTACCTTGTAATTCTACTGTATTTCACTTACATATTACACACATAGACACACACACAACGTACATACTAGAATATAGGTCAATGAAGGCAGGAAGTTCTGCCTTTTTTTCTTTCAGTGCTGAGGGTGTGTGACAGCATTCTGAGAAGAGAGTGACAGCTGTTTAGTAAGAACAATACTCTTGCAATCTACAAGTCAAATAAGGCACGATCAGCCCTCCATGGAGTCGCCCAAATTCCACGACACCAAGTAAGTGTAAGTTGTTAGGAGATTTTTATCAATTTCACTTGAAGAAATGTTTAGGCAGAGTATCTCCTCAGACTCAAGAGAAATCCTAGTTGGAGTAACCCGAGAACCCAGCAAATCAACTCACCCAAAAAGAATTGTCTGATGTTTGTTTTCTAAAAAGTACTGCCTCATGGCATATGCAACAGATGATCGGAACAGGTACATTTCATTGTCGTTCCATTTATACTGCAAATTCAGAAGAAAGACACTGCTCAGCTGGACTCATAAGACACATTTATAATCTGATACTCCTCAAGAATTATTCTTAATATTCCAGAGATTCCTGCTATTTATTACGTCAGTGACGTCAGCCTAAGTGTGCATCCATATCACCTGAAGGGTTAGTTAAAACACTGAGTGCTGGGTCCAACCCTAGAGCATCTGATTCAGGAAGCCTGAGATGAAACCCAGTAATTTACATCCCTAACAAACTCCCAGGTGGTGGTAATGCTGCTGGTCAGGCGACCATGCTTTAGGAACCATTGGGTTCACAGGTCCTTTTTCTTTAGTTTGATGTAAACTGAAATTAACACTTTGAGTATAGGTTTAGCCACGGGAGTCAAACAAAAGTTGTGGGTTTTGCAGCAAAATGTCTGTACGTTGTGGACAAAATCAGTTTTTACTATTTTTACAGTAAGTTCTCAGAAATGTACTTATCTATAAATGTAAAAGAAAAACTTGAAGTTCAAATAAAAAATAACACTTTGTAAATAGCAAACTACTCTGTTTGTTGTTTTCCAGTGCTAAACAAATAGCTTATGTTTGCATAGCTTTTAAAGACTTAAAGCATTCACTCTTTCCTCCAGTAGCTGGCAGTAGGAATCAATGAATGGCACTAGTTGTATGTTTCTCCTTTCCCTTTAAAAAAATTGTATTTCACAAAAAATTGTTACATTCACCTCAGCTTGGTTTCACCCAGGTTTGGAGGAGTTCCTTTAATAGTAGCATTATTAATATTGTTACTAATAACAGTCTGGCTACTATTTCTATAAATATAAAATATTTTAAAGGCTGAGTTCTCAAAATAATGCCATAGATCCGATTGGAATTCACCATGAAATAGCTTGAACTGAGCAGATATTCTGACCCTGATGTGTATATGCACTAAATATATGATCTCGTTTCATCAAAACAGATTGTTGTTTGGTGAATTGGCTTCAGAACATTACAGCATCAAACCCGCTGAACACTATTTACCCACCCTCACTGCATGGAAAGAAGATGAGTATAAACGTCAAGAAAAAAAGATAATTGAAAAATGTCCTGATCTGCCGAGACTAATTAAAATTTATTAAACCAAGGAAGAGCTAATAAAAATATGACAGAGAAATAGTCCCACAATTACCCAATGATGGCCGGGCGCGGTGGCTCAAGCCTGTAATCCCAGCACTTTGGGAGGCCGAGAGGGGCGGATCACGAGGTCAGGAGATCGAGACCATCCTGGCTAACACGGTGAAACCCCGTCTCTACTAAAAATACAAAAAACTAGCCGGGCGAGGTGACGGGCGCCTGTAGTCCCAGCTACTCGGGAGGCTGAGGCAGGAGAATGGCGTAAACCTGGGAGGCGGAGCTTGCAGTGAGCTGAGATCCGGCCACTGCACTCCAGCCTGGGGGACAGAGCGAGACTCTGTCTCAAAAAAAAAAAAAAAAAAATTCACCCAATGATTATTAAGAAATAGGAACTTGAACTCTTAATGATTGGAAAGAAATGCACTTCCATTTTCATTTTTTCTTTCTTGAATGTTCATCTTTTTACTCCTGAGTTATTTATGGTTTGATGTGTTATCTATGAAAATTATACTAAAAGTGTTGTTGAATCTTGGACAATGTGTAACTTTTCAGGAAAGGTAAGGGGGTAGAAACACAATCTTTGGATCTATCCGATGCAGACAACAATTTGCTGTAGCATCTTGGACCATTTTATCCAATAGTCCCAGATTGACTTCTAACCCTGCAAAACCTTCAGGGTGTCATGCCCACTCTCAGGCTTTTGAGCCTCATCTACCCGAGACTACTCTTTCCTCTCCTCTTTCCCAATCAAAGCTACTACTTCCTCAGACTGGATCACCTGAGACAGGTGTTAAGGAGAGAGCAATAGCTAAGTAAACAATTCACATAAAGGGGTAAATAACATAATTTCCTGTAAAATATTTTGTTACCCCAAAATGTATTTCTCTAAATAAGTGGTTCTCAAACTTTGCTGCGACTAGAATCACCTGGGGAGCTTGAAACACTCTTGATGCCCAACTCTTGAGTCCATACCCCAGAACAATTAAATCAGAATCTCTGGAGGTGTATAACCCAGGCATTAATATTTTTTAAACTTCCCATGTGATTCCACTGTGCAGCCAAGTTTGAGAAGCAGTGTTCTATATTAGAGCTTCCCAGTCTTGATTGTATGTACAAATCACCTGGAGGCTTGCTAAAATGCAGATTCTGATTAAGTGGTCCAGGGCTAGGCTTGAAATTATGCATTTTTAACAAGCTTCCAGGTGATTCAAATGCTGCTGGTCCATGGGCCACACCCTGAGTGAAGCCAGGATGCAGATGATTGACTAAAACAAAACAAATTTAAAAAAACCTAACTGTGCTGCTTCTAAAAACAAACTACCTTTCAAAATACAACCATGTTATCTTTCTAGAATAAAAGTAATGGTGACAAGAGTCAATTGAAAGGATTGGTATTTGATATTTAAGGATTGATACAGATGTTTTCTCATTGAAGTTCACAACACCTTTAAGGCAATAAAAAGTAGGAATAGCGTATCTAATAAGGAATGTGTTACTTTAAAAACCCAAAGCCAAAGGCCAGAATCTGGAACTTATAGTTTTGAAAAGAACCACACGGCCTCTCCTCTTTCAGATCACACTGAAAAGGGTTTATTGTGTCCTATTTAATGTGAAGACTGTGCACTCAAAAATAATGAATTCACGGTCCAGAATACTCACTGCGTTAGCTCCAAGAGCTGATTTTAGGCTTATCCTCACTTTGATGCTTTGGTCAGCATCTGATTAAAGAGAAATCGCAGACTGCTGGTTACAGATGACAGATTGCCCACATGTGCTTATTTCCTTTTCCTCCCAAAATCCCACTAAAGTGATAGTAAAGGGATCTTTTAAAGGTATCGACAGACTTTTGGAAAATAAGAAATGATGAGAGAGGGGTAGCTGCTTTCTCAGGGACAGGAAGCCATGACCTAATTTGTACACAGAGGGAGCACAGACCCACAAAGAGCCAAAAAATCCAAAAGAGGTTTGGAATTCAAGCACAGGTGAGGGTGGGGAAATAATACTGGGCTGAAAAGAAGAGGAATGGAAGCCAGGGTGTGGTTAAAACCACTTTGGAGAACAGTTGATCCTCCTACCCCTTGTGCCCTCCTTAGACAGTCAATTGGAGGCTGTGCTCCAGAAAAACAAGAGGTAATCCAAGAAAGAAGACATGGAATCTAGGAAGCAGTGGATTCAACCCAGGAGAACAACAAATGTTGGGACAGAAGGATGTAAGATTCCAAGAGGGAAGTCTTTAGGAGAAAAAAATGAGACTGAAAAGAATAGATATGTTGAAATATTTGGGAGAAAAACAAATACAATGTAGATAGCAAATTAGGTAGGCCAAAAAATTTAGGCAGGTAGAAACTTTTAGACAACAAGCCACATAAGAAAGGACACAAAATAGTATATTACTTGGCTCTTCAGGCATAGTGATGTAAACACTGATAACTGTTTTACTAAAAATCATTATAAGGCCTTATTGGAAGAGCAAGAAATGGAAGTGGAAGAGTAGACCAAAGCGAAGGTTTAAAACTGAGCAATGACAAAATAGCAATATAAGAAAATTATTTAGAAATATGAAAGTGACTGCTAGAAAGAAGAGATAATAGCATTAAAATTGTTTTTTAAAAAAGTATTTGTCTTTGGAAAGCAGGATTCAAGTACAATTGGTTGGAGAAAGTTATAATATGTATTTTAAAGATGAGGTTAATAAAACAGACTTGAAAGAGTATACACTCTTGTATGTGTATGCATCTGTGTGTGTTTGTCTGTACAGTTACTTTCACTATGTCTCATACATAGGTGCTCGACAGTTGTGATTTTTCTGCCATAAAACGGCAGCTGTCGCCATAGCAGAGAAAGCAGCAGGTACTATAGAGAAAGAAAACATTCTCAGCTGTGTCACAAGTCCTCATGAGACTGGGGCCAAAGGAGACTAGAAGAAGTAGACAAGGAATGGGTGTGAAACTTGTCAACTGGGTGTACTCACACGGACTCCAGTCGGTACTCCATCCCACAAAAGAATTCTTGTTCTGGTCTTTCAGCCAGGTAAACAAGGGCTCAAAGTAGTTGAGCAGTGGTCTTACATTCATGTTCTTTGCTCCTACAACATTTTCCAATGCTAGGGTCCAGGGTTCTGATTTTCCAAGCTTCAGCATATTGCTACACAAAAAAGAGGGGGTTCAGGGCCTTTTGAGGGGTTCCAGCTATACATGTATTTACATCTATGATCTACGGTTTCTTCTCTTTGACTTGGCTAAATTTGCTTCTGGCAGATAAGAAAATAATGCATATTAATGGATATATTCCTCCCTCAACCGCTCTTTCCTTCCAATTACCACAAAGAGAGGGCTGTAGTTATAATAGGGAGAAAAGAGGTGGCCCATCCAATTGTTGTATGGTCTAGGTTCCTGTGTGACCACAAATTAAATGTTTGGTTTGTAAATGAGGACATTTTGAGGCCATAAAATTTTCTTTTTAGAACAAAGAAATCAAATTCAAACCTAGGCATGGAAATGAGTAATATTGAATACTAGGGGAGGTTCAACATTTTGAGGTATTTCTTACAGCAATTTCTGTCCAGCTTCTGTAGAGTTTGAGATGTCACATTTGTGCAGAGGACCTTCGTGTTTAGCTGCTTGACAAAGTGCTTCTTGAAACTGGAATTGGTAAAGGGTCCTTGTGTAATATCTGCACAAGAGACAAAAACAAAAAAGCAGTACTATGTTTACTTACTGTCTTAGAGTTATAGATTGGAGCATATATTTAAAATGGGGCCCAAGTAACCAAAGAGATACTGATCAAATCTCTTTCTCCAGACATGAACTCTTCCCTCATCATAACCTATTTGCATTTTATGTATCCATTGATAAACATGGCAATATTACTCTGTTAAATGTTAGCTAACATTTGTTTTGTGTTTTACAGATTAATAGCCCTTTCATATAAATGATGCGAATCCATCCTTATAACAGGTCAATAATATTATTTTCATTTTACAAATAAACTGAGCTCCAGAAAATTCAAGGACTGGGGTTACTAGGTGAAGAACATATGTTTTTGGACTTCAAGTTAAAAATTCTCTTTCTATTACAATGCACAGTAAACTGCCAGTAACAAGAAGACAAACAAAACTACTTTTTATTTCTCCCAATGATACTATTGATTGCTTGATGACAGGGACAAGATCTCACACAAATTTAATTGAACCCAATAAATTGTGTTAATTTAAATTGAATTGAAATTGATCATCTATACAGACAGTCCCCAACTTACAACGGTTGGACTTTCGATTTTTTGCCTTTACAATAGTGCTTTCAGTTGTGTATGCTAATGGTAAGTACCCAAAGGTTTTCACTTTCAGCGCAGTATTAAATAATTACATGAGATATTGAACACTTTATTATAAAATAAGGTCTGTGTTAGATGATTTTGCCCAACAGTAGGCTAATGTGAGTGTTCTGAGCACGTTTAAGGTAGACTAGGCTATGCTTTGGTGTTCCATAGGTTAGGCATATTCAGTGCATTCTTAAGGTATTCTTATGATGAGTGTATTGGGACGTAACCCCATTGTAAAGCAAGGAGCATCTGTATTGAGCCTGGTAGTTACGGGTGGAAAAATTATAATTATCACTTCATTTATCCCTACTTTTTGTCATTATTAGCACAGCTGTCCACAAACCCTAGAAGTTAAACAGAAACAAGAAAACTGTAATTTACCGAATGAATGAGTAATCATTAGAAACATGGAACAGAGATGCGGGGTCACAGTATGTTTCATCATGGGGCACAGGTTCCACCACCCCAACTATCTCTCGCCTTTGGGGAGAAAAGAAAACAATACATTAGCTGTGGATCACCCATCACAAGCAGGTGTGCATAACTAGTGCAGTTTCATCAATCTTTTTTTTTTTTTTGAGACAGAGTCTTACTCTGTCACCCAGGCTGTAGTGCAGTGGCACGATCTTGGCTCACTGCAACCTCCGCCTCCCGTGTTCAAGCGATTCTCCCATCTCAGCCTCCCAAGTAGCTGGGATTATAGGTGTGCACCACCACATCTAACTAATTTGTGTATTTTTAATAGAGACGGGGTTTCACCATGTTGGCCAGGCTGGTCTCGAACGCCTGGCCTCAAGAGATCCACCCGCCTCAGCCTCCCAAAATGCTGGAATTACAAGCGCCACCGTGTCCAGTCAATCAATGGTATTTATATTAGAAATGGTTGTCGAGTGAAATAGAAACAATGTAAAAAAAATCACCTACAAAAATAAAAAATAAATAAAATTTTTTTAAAAATCAGAGAGTAAAGCTCATTATGTGGTTATCTCTTAGTTTTAATTAATTCAGCCAGAATATACCCTTGGAAAATAGCTATGTCTTCAAAAGATTAATTTAATAAAATTCATAAAGTGCATTGCATGGCCAAAAGTGTACAGTGAAAGCCCTAATAATTCCTCTCAGGCACCACACTTCATGTACTCCTGGCAGAGAGAATTTAATAAAATTGAAATCTTACTTACTCTCCACGCCTACCCAGCTCAAGTGTTCCCTCCTCTGTGAAGCCTGGCCCTGATCCCATCCACCTTCTGGCAGAATTAACCCCCAATCTCCTTTAGCCTTCTCTAGTTGTGCCTCCTTTGCCATTTATCTCCCGTTTTGTTGTTATTCACCTATAGTAACTTCTTGCCCTAGAGACTTCAGTACCTAGAGGGTGGGGCTGTGTCTTGGTCTTCTCTCTAATTCCAGTGTCAGACATGGTGCCTGTCACTACGGAAAGAATTCATTTATATTTATTGAACAAAGGAACAATTGATGCATTAATGAATCACTCTAAGGATCTGATTCCATGTGCCTTTAAAATAAGCTAAGAGGGATCAAAAGATTAATCTAGCCAGAAAAAAAGGTAGCAAAATCATGTATTTGACCTTGATTAAATGGAATACATTTTTCCTTTAAAACTGCAGGATCACTGTAGACATAACTTCAGTAATATTTAAACACTAGAAACAGTTCTTATAGGTGCTGCATATTTCCTCCCACGTAAGATGTATGTTAACAGAGAGAATCTTGACAGAAGTGTACTGTTTTAAACCTGTGCATGTGGAGCTGCTTGTTACACATGAGATCTTCACTTCAAAAAGAAAATATAAGAAAAACAAAGAAAGAAATAATTGACGAGGGTCTAAGATGGTAAAAAGAAGACAGATTTCTTTCTTTTTTCCATTCTCTCCCTCCCTCTCTCCTTTCTTTTTTTCCTTTTCTTTTTCTCTTAAAATTCCTTCATCCAAAAACCTATTTATTTCATAGTTGCATGTGACAAGCACAGTGTGAGGTACTTGTGACACAGCAATGAGTAATGTAGTGCTACAACTATGGAAATGGTCACTGTTGCCCAAATGTGTCAGGTTCTCTCTAGCTTGGAATTCTCTGCGTTCCCCCTATACACCCACATCTTTCTCAGGGCTTAAGTGCCTCTCCTCATCTGATACCCCCAGTTGGGCTTTGGATCTCCCCTGGACATTAACGGACCCTGTACCCTTCCATCACAACACTACACATTGCAGTGGTTTAATTTTCCACACCCTGCAATAAACTAAATGTTTTTTCAGGTTGAGGACCATACCTGAAATTATTAGCATTGTATCCCCAGTGCTTTGCCTAAAATATGGGGTCACCATTTTGTTTAAAAGGCTGGATAAAAGAATATGTAAAATGGATAAATTGATCACTTTCAACATAATATCATAGTTTAATGAGTAAGCCAATACTTAAGAATATAGAGTATGAAGTAGTGTCACCTGACCCAAGGAAATTTTATCTGAGGAGATGGCATCCAAATGGAGACTAAAATATAAAATATAACAAACTAAAAATACCAAAAGGAGTTAATGTGTGCCTCTGAGTGTGTGTGTGTGTGTGTGTGTGTCTGTGTGTGTGTGTGTGTACACGCCAGTCAAATGCTTTTAAATACACAGCAAACTCATTAGAAAACATTTTACTGATTACATATTCATTGACTTACTTCATCTCCCACCACTTTTTCATCCACTGGTCTTTGGGAATTTCACCTTTAAAGACCATCCACCTCCACTTCTCTAACATGTAAGTAAATGGCAGAGTCCCAACAATCGTGAGTGCTTGTTTGAGCAGGAAGTTTATTTCTGTTTCTGAAAGTAGAATGGAAATGGATAAATATTACGATGAAGATGACAGTGGATGTTTTGTGTTAAAGATAATTTTCCTAACTTCAAAATATTTTTCCTCAAGATATACTTACTATAAGGATACATGAGAAAAATTGACAGTATACATAATAATATGTATATATTTATTTTCTCAGCTAAGGGATTTGGAGTACGTTGAAGCCCTGGAACAGAACAGGTAAATAAAAACCCAAAGTTACTTCTAATCCTCATTTTCTTCATTAGTTTCGGTTTCCTCCCTTAAATACCTCTTATCAGAGTTCATTAGAGCTATTTCATCCACTTTCCCAGTCACACTGTTTATTCTGGAAAGCTCCATGAAGTCAGTGACTGTTAATGTCTCATTTAAGACTGTATAACCTAGTCCCACGTCTGCTATGTGATGCCTTCTGTGAGTCTTTGTTAAATAAACAAATGCTAAACAGATTCAGTGAAAACCTGTAAATCAGGGAGGGGAAATAAAAGAGCCCCCCAGGAGGGCACTATCCACTGGATGGTGGAAAGTACAATGTACTTTAAACATAAGGATATCTTCCTTACCAAGAATTTAAAAGGCTTTAACAAATCATGTTCTTTCATTTTATCCTTTATCAGTGACATAAAGAGGCAGTGGAGTTCATCTCTAGTGTACAAAGGAAATGTATTGAAATGTAAGCAGGGGATGTTACCTACTTTTCACATCACTGTGTCCCTAGTGTCTAGAAAAATGTTTTGCACACAGTATGTGCTCGATAAATATGTTTGGAAGAAGAAAGAAAGAGAAAGAGGGAGGGAGGAATGGAAGGAATAAAGGAATTTATTTAACATTATTCACAAATCGGGGCAGAGTCAAGAAAAAAAGCAGGAGTTTTCCAAACCAGTGGTTTAATCATGTCTAATACCATCTTTAAAAAAGAAAAACTTTTATTTTAGGTTCAGGGGTATGTGTGCAGGTTTGTTACATAGGTAAACTCATGTCACAGGGTTTGTTGTACAGATTATTTCATCACTGATCTAATACCATCTTAAGAAACAGTCATCAACCATTTTTACCTGCTGTCAGGGAATATTTTTAAATAATAAAATATCTGTTCATTGACTTGAATTAATGATATTTTAAAATTAGGAAGCAGGTGTGGTTACTGTTAACGACCTTTGTTACTCTCTTCATGGGAGGATGCTGCTACTGGTCTGTAAGCCACTAGGACTATGCTTACAGTAACTATTTCAAACATGATGACAGGCTTTACGCTGGCCTACTCCCAGGCCCTTGTGGGATCACCAAGGATCTGGAACCAGAGATCAAGGCAAAGTGAATTGTCTACTCAAGGATGGAGCTCATGACCTTGATCTCATCGACCAAATGCTCCAGACAGAGGAACTGATCTTTATGTCACAAATAACTAAAATTAGAGGAGAGAATACATGGATGACAAGAAGGTATAGGCTTTATTTGTCCTCCTTTTATGAGAAAGAAGCAAAAGCCAAGGCATCCTCACTGAAGAAATTCGATCTCCTGAACATTTGTCGTGTTCCATCAAGTCCAAGCCATCTAAAAGGAAATGGGCTGCCTCAGGCAGAAATGTTGAAGGATAGCACAGATTTAAGGGGATGTTACAGGGGAAATTCACGCTTCAGCAGGATGGACAAAATGTTTCAATCCCTTCTAATGTTGATATTAAACCACCTGTTCTTTAAGAATTCAAAAATTTAAAGCTATACTTTGCTTTGCATAGTATTATGGAAAAGGCTTCAGATTAAGGCTCTTGTTTTGGTTCCGCCACTACATTGCATTTTGACTTCAGGCTACTTTCCCTCTCTTGTCTTCAGTTTACTTCTCTACAGAATGGTTTTTAGATTCTATTCCAACTCTAAAGTTTTGGGAAGTTTTTACCTACAACCAGAGGGGTCTAGTTAGAATGCAGACACTAATTGGACAAGCCATTTCAGTTCTGTGAGACTGTTTCATCATCTTTAAGACAAAAAAAAAAAAAAAAAAAAACTTCTGTTAGATGTTTCACAGGATCCCAAGTCCATTCATTCAGTTACCTCTCTTATTCCCTTTTAAAATATACAAAACCGAAAGTTGACATGTTCTGATATATACTTAAAATTTTTCACCAGTAGTAATTTCCAGCTACCTGTAAATACCTTATACCTTATGCGGCAAAAAGTAAGTATTTCCTACATAAGATAACAGATACCTTTGCCCGTATCAGATTAAAGAACCTCCAAAACAAGCCATGAGAAAATGTCCATACCATTGTCTTCTTGAAAATCAGGTGACAGAAGACCAATGGATTTTAAATGCTTAGGTGTGGCTGCAGAAAGTGACATGATTTCCCCAACAGCTTCATGGAATCCTTCATTAGCTCCATTTCTTAGCAGAAAAGGTTGTGCAGCATATGCCATATCATATTGGATATGCCCCATCTCATGATGAGCTGTCAGGAAGTCGTCCATTGTCACCTTTGTGCACATAATGATCCTGCATGAAAATGGACAAGATGAAAATGAATCTCACTGACTTTCATTTAACAATTACAGTGGAGTTGTATGGGGTTTTGGTAGCATGAATCATCTTTCCAAGATTTATTCACCAGTGAATCTTGAGTACCCACCTTTTATGTCCTAGAAACAGTACTAGTTGCTCAATATAAAGCAATAGGCACGGCTGAATCCTGTTCTCTTGCTCATAGACTACCAGGAAGACAGATAAGCAGAGTTCTCTGCTACAAGAACTCTGAGGCAATTACTCTATAAATGATCAGTACACACAGCCTTGAGCATAAAAATGAGTGAACATAGGCACAGTCCTCTAGAAGCACCAAGAAGGGCATGACTGAGGATGCAATGAGCAATTTGGACCTTAATCAATGTGCAGGAGTTTGCCCGGTAGAAGGCACAGAAGTTGATGTTCCTAGTGCTCAATGAGAAAGGCTTAGGGGCAGAGGGATGGAAACGTGGCATTCAGGACACTGCAAGCTGTTTGGTATTGCCAGGATAGAGAAATAGTAGAAGGGGCTGCAAATTGAAACTTGGGAATCATTAGCATGTAAGTTGGGAGGTAAATATGATGGGCCATGGAGCAGGGATAGAGTGCAAGAAAAGAGGACCAAAGATAAACCTATAGAAGGTCCAAGTACCTAAGGAGTAGGGAGAGGAAGATTATTCAGAGGAGATGGAGAAAGTACAGTCAGAGAGGTTCAAGGAAATCTGGAAAAGAATGACAATGTGGAAGTTGGTTAAAAAAAAAAATAGCATTTGAAAGACAACTCGTAAATCTTGTCTAATGCTGCTATAGCCCAATGGGATAAGAACTGCATTTGGCAATGAGATGGTGGTCCTTTTTAACTTAGCAAGAGCATTTCAAGTGGGTGTAGGGGTCATATTTCAGTAGATTCCCAAATTTATTTCATACCACTTGGATCATATCACCACCCCCTCCAATATCCTGTGAGGCCTCCTCATTGCTCAAGAATAGACTCAGCCACGATACACCAATATGACCCTGTAAACCAAAAACTATTTGAGATAGGTCTCAATCAATTCACAAGTTTATTTTGCCAAGGTTAAGAACATGCCCAGAAGAAAAGAACACAGAATTTATAGAAATAGTCTGTGGTTTGTGCCTTTCTCCAAAAATAATTTTGAGGGCTTCAATATTTATAGGAGAAAAGTGAGCTGGAGGGGATAATGGGAGGGCATGGTAATCCACGCATTGCAAGAGAAAGGGGGAAGGTAAGGAAATATTCAATTATGTATTCATCTTATGCTCAGTAAATCTACTTTCCTTTCACAACCCCAACCTACTTTTCTAATTTGGTTTCTCTCTATTCTCTTCTGAAATAATTATAAAAATAACTACTATATATTTACTGCCTACTGTATGTAAGATTCTGTGCTTGAAAACTTACTTATACTTTCTCATTTTTAAGCCTCACTGGCATCAGTAAACTATGGCCTGCTGGCCAACCATCTGTTTTTATAAATAAATTTTTTTTGGCACACAGCCACATCCATTTGTTTGTGTATTGTCTATGGCTGCTTTCATGTCACAAGGGCAGAGCTGAGTAGTTGCAACAGAGATCTGCAAAGCTTAAACTATTTACTATCTGGCTCTTTACAGAAAAGGATTGTAGATCTAATCCCTATCCTAGTCAATGCTAGTGGGGGCCTGCGGAGACTTTATCCACCATCCCCTAGCTGCCTGAGTCACAGCTGATAAGGGCCAACAGCTGCTCCCTTCACTGCCTTTGACCAAATGGGGGTTATGCTCCCCCATACTCTGGGGCAGTCCACAGTCAAAGACTGCCTAATATAAAAGGCTAGTCCCCTTGTCCTGAGGTGTGGCCTAGTCTGTGGCTCAAGTTATGCTCCAAAGAACTTCATGGGATAAGGCTGAGGCCGAGTTTCCAGTAAAGATCACATCCTTCCTTACCTCCCTCCTTTGTCCCAGCCTGCTTCCCTCATTCCCCTCTGCCTCAGAGCTCTCCTCAATGAAGCATTTGTGAAACAATCTCCTTTTCAAGCTAAGGAATCCAACCTAAGGCTCTCACAAGCCTGCAACCTGGGAGTTACTATTCTACTTTATAAAATAAGGAAACCGAAACCAAAGAAAGTTAAATACCTTGTCCAAGGTTGCACAGTCATTAAGTGACACACCTAGGATTCCGAAGCCCATGCTCATTCTGCCACATTACACAAACTCTCCTTAACTTATTTCTCATTCTAGCCTAACTTGCCGACTTCAATACACAGGTCGGGTCCTGCCTCTCTGTATTTGATCCTGCTGTTCTCACAGCTTGGGTCCTCCTCCCCACTCTGTGTATCTGAATCCTTCTTGTCTTTCCAAACCTAATTCAAATCCCACTTGTAAAGCATGGTCTGATCCTATCTCCCATTGCAAGTGTGGTCAGTTTTCTTCTGATTCTCCATAGGGCATGCCTTGTGTCTCTCTTATGACATGTACCACTTTCTCCGTTCAATCCAAGCTTATTTATTCACTTATTCTGTCTCACTCACAAGAGTGAAACATGGAGGGGAAGATCAATGTGTGATTCACATGTCCATCTTCCAAAAATCTTAGCACCAAATCTTTCCTGATATGGATGCAACCATCCCCAATACCATACAATGCCAATGGATGCGTAATATTTCAAAGAAAGCAGATGGTCCAGAGGTTCAAGTTAGAGCCTGCTGGCAATCCTCTTTTCCTGGGAAAACCCAAATGTGCTCTCCTGGACTCCCAGCCTTAGTTCAAGGAGAGTTAACTTATCTTTTCTGTGCTCAGAAAAGCAGAGAAAGAATTCAAGTTAAACTTCAGCCTGCCTCTGTTGTCTCCCATTTAGTATCAGTTGTGTAAGTATCAGCCCCACTACCTGAAGTCGCCCTTCCCCAGGTCCCAAGCTGTGGGGTGGCAGACTACTTTCTGAACATTTCCTGGATCAGTTAGCATGGAATTTTCCCAGAATCCTTGAGTCATATTAGGAAGACCAACAGATACAAAGAACTTCTCGGCCTCCTTGAATATTCTCTGTGCATTCCAGGCCTGGGAAAAGAGAACAGTATTAACTCCAGCATCAAAACAACCGCATTCTTAAATTAAATAAGCCAGGCACAGAAAAACAAACACCACATGTTCTCACTTATGTGTGGAATCTAAAACAATGGAACTGGTAGAAGCAGAGAGTAGAATGGTGGTTACAGAGGCTATGGGGTGGGGGCAATGGGGGAGATGATGGTCAAAGCGTACAAAGTCTCAAACAGGATGAATAAGTTGGTTTTATTTTTTTGAGATTTATTGCACAGCATAGTAAATATAGTTAATAATAGAACATTGTACATTTTGAAATTGCTAAGAGAGTAAATTTCAAATGTTCTCACTGCAAAAAAAAGTATGTTAAGTAATTGATATGTTAATTAGCTTTATTTAACTATTTTTCATTGTATTCATAAATCATGAAATCACCTTGTACCCCATAAATATATAAATTGACAATAATAAATTGTCAATTTACAATAAAATTTTAAAATGGAAAAAGTGCTAATGTAATTTTTAAAATAGCAGCATTATTTCTGTTGGATATATACACTGGCATAACCTTTCCAAAAGGCAATTTGATAACACATATGGATAGCATTTGAAATTTTTTTCTTTGTCTCAGTAATGCTGCCTCTAAGGAACTAACCTAAAAAATTATCAGAAATTAGATTCAACAATTACACTGAGAATTACTTTTAATAGAGAAAAAAGTTGAAACGACCATCAGAATGGTTAAATGATACCTTTGAAAAACAGAATAATGTGCAGCCACCCAAATTATATTTATGAAAAATGTTTTGGTTTAGATCCAAAAGACAGGCAATAACAAATGCTGGTGAGGGTGTGGAGAAAAGGGAACCCTCCTACACTGTTGGTAGGAATGTAAGTTAGTACAACCACTATGGAAAACAGTTTGGAGGTTCCTCAAAAAAGTAAAAATAGAGCTACCGTATGATCCAACAATCCCACTGCTGAGTATATACCCAAAAGAAAGGAAATCAGTATTTTGAACAGATATGTTTGTTGCACTATTTGCATGTTTGTTGCACTATTCACAATAGCCAAGATTTGGAAACAACCTAAGTGTCCATTAATAGATGAATGGATAAAGAAAATGTGGTACACATACACAATGGAATACTATTCAGCCATAAAATAAATGAAATCCTGTCATTTGCAACAACATAGATGGAACTGAAGGTCATTATATTAAGTGAAATAAGCCAGGCACAGAAAGACAAACATTACATGTTCTTACTTATTTGTGGGATCTAAAAAACCAAAAGAATTGAACTCATGGACGTACAGAGTGGAAGGATGGTTACCAGAGGCTGGAAAGAGTAGTGGGAAGGTGGCAGGGGCAGGTTGGGATGGTTAATTGGTACAAAAAAATAGAAAGAATGAGGCTGTGTGTGGTGGCTCAGCACTTTGGGAGGCAAAGGCGGGCAGATTGCTTGACACCAGGAGTTCGAGACCAACCCGGCCAACATGGCAAAACCCTGTCTCTACTAAAAATACAAAAATTAGCCAGGCATGGAGGGGCACACCTGTAATCCCACCTACGTGGGAGGCTGAGGTGGGAGAATTGCTTGAACCCAGGAGGTAGAGGTTGCAGTGAGCTGAGACCGTGCCACTGCACTCCAGCCCGGGTGACAGAGTGAGATCCTGTCAAAATAAAGTGTACTATTTGATAGCACAACAGGGTGACTATAGTTAATAATAATTTAATTGTACATTTAAAAATAACTAAAAGAGTATAATTGGATCATTTGTAACTCAAAGGAAAAATGCTTAAGGGGGTGGATGCCCCCATTCTCCATGATATGATTATTATATATTGCATGCCTGTATCAAAACATCTCATGTATCCCACATACCTAGTATGTATCCATAAAATTTTTTAATCTGAGAATTTTAATTGATATTACAAAATACAATTTAATAGTAAGTAAAAAAGTAGAATATATGAGCAACTTAATGAGGTAGTACATGAAAATGTGAACAGTAGACTGAGTATGATTATTGATAATGTTTTCTTGGTTTTATTTTTTATATTCCAAGTAAAAACACAACTTTTCTACTCAAGCCAACTATCGTTGATTGATCTCCTTCAAGGGGAAAGGCCCTGTATTAGACTTGGTGGAAGACATAAACTATAAGGTGGACCTGAAGGCATACGCTTTTGGAATCAAAAAGGCCCAGATGTGGCCTAGCAGCCAATGGGTAGTTGGGCCTTGGCTTCATGATCTGTATGAAGTCCAAATTTTCACAGTGTTCTGGGACTAAAAAGAGGCAGCAGTAGGCATCTGCCACCCAGAAAACTCTTCTGGTAACAAGTCTCAGGAGCTGACCAAGCCTGCTTAGGAGATAAGGCCTACATTAGGTGAGCTAAGTTTGTGTAATTGGCAGCTAGTCTATGAATCACTTTTAGTAACAGAAAACTTCCTCTGATCCCAAAGACTAGTCAAGTCTGGTTTCTCTCCTTTGCCAGCCCTGGGAATAAGAAACAGGATATGAGCCTATAGATGGTTTAAAAATTAAGGACTTACTGTCAGGCAATTGGTATTGATGAGTATGACATTCTTAAGTAGAATGAACCTATACCAAAACAGTGTAGATTAGGAAATACAGTTAACATCTGTTGAATGAACAATGAATGAATGAATAGAAAACCAGGCTGAAATTATTAGGAGTTCTGAGTTCAATCCTTAGTTGCCAATGACTGTCTTTGTGACTTTGGGCAAATCACTTACCTGAGCAAATAGAAGTATGATGCAGAAGAATGAAACTAGAGCCCTACCAATCATCATATACAAAAATTAACTCAAGATGGAATAAAGACCTAAATATAAGACCTCAAATTATAAAAATCCCAGAAGAAAATCTACGAAAAACTCTTCTGGACATTGGCACGGGCAAAGAATTTGTAAGTCTTCAAAACCAATTGCAACAGAAACAAAAATTGACAAGTGAGACCTAATTAAACTAAAAAACTGCTGTACAGCAATTTGAAACAAATGGAAACAGACACAGCATACCAACAACATATCTGGGATGTGGCAAAAGCAATGTTAAGAGGAATGTTTATAGTGCTAAATGCCTACATCAAGAACCTAGAAAGATATCAAATTAATAATCTAACACCAGACTTAAAGGAACTAGAAAAACAAGAACAAACTAATTCCAAAGCTAGAAAAAAAGAGAGAACTAAAATCAGGGCAGAATTAATGAAACTGAGACTTAAAAAATCATACAAAGGTTCAACAAAATAAAAATTCAGTTTTTTAAAAGGATAAACAAGATGGAAAGACCTCTAGCTAGATTAACAGAGAAAGAGCGAAGATCCAAATAAGCACAATCAGAATTGCAGTAAACAGACAACCTACAGAATGCAGTGAACAGACAACCTACAGAATGGGAGAAAATATTTTCAAAACATCAGAGAAATGCAAATCAAAACCCATAATGAGATACCATCTCACACCAGTCAGAGTGGCCACTATTAAAAAGTCAAAAATTAACATGTTGGCGAGGCTGCTGAGAAAAGGGAACACTTACGCACTGTTGGTGAGAATGTAAATTAGATCATCCACTATGGAAAGCAGTTTGGAGATTTCTCAAAGGACTAAAAATAGAACTACCATTCGACCCAGCAATCCCGTTACTGTGTATATATCCAAAGGAAAATAAATTGTTCTACCAAAACGACACCTGCACTCGGGTGTTTATTGTAGCACTATTCACAATAGCAAAGACAAGGAATCAACCCAAAGAAAGAAATAAATAAAATGTGGTACATATATACCATGGAATGCTATACAGCCATAAAAATAATGAAATTATGTCTTTTGCAGCAACATGGATGCAGCTGAAGACTGTCATCCTAAGTAAATTAATGCAGAAACAGAAAACCAAGTATCACATGTTCTCACTTATAAGCTAACCTTGGGTATATATAGACATAAAGATGGGAACAATAGACACTGGGGACTCCAAAAGAAGGGAGGGAGAGAAGAGCAGCAAGGGCTGAAAACCTTCCTGTTGAGTACTATGTTCATATCTGGTTGATAGGACCAATAGAAGCCCAAACGTCAGTATCACGCAATATACCCTTGTAACAAACCTGCACGTGAACTCCTTGAATTTAAAATTTAAATTTAAATTAAAAAATTCTCAGGCCAGGCGCGGTGGCTCACACCTGTAATCCCAGCACTTTGGGAGGCTGAGGCGGGTGGATCACGAGGTCAGGAGCTGGACACCAGCCTGGCCAACATGGTGAAACCCCGTCTCTACTAAAAATAAAAAATAAAATAAAATAAAAATTAGCTGGGCATAGTGGTGTGCGCCTGTAGTCCCAGCTATTTAGGAGGCTGAGGCAGGAGAATCACTTGAACTCGGGAGGCGGAGGCTGCAGTGAGCCGAGATCACGCCACTGCACTCCAGCCTGGGCGACAGAGTGAGACTCCATCTCAAAAAAAAAAAAAAAAAAAATTATCTGTGTTCCCTTCTGTTGATGAAATGATATTATAGTTATAAATTATGTATTTTTGTTCATTCAACTAAAATTCTACATTTCTGAGTAGAATACCTAATTATACTTCTATTTGCCTTATAAAATTTCCTCAGATAATTGCACCATAATTTGCTATTTGTGCATTGCTGAACCTTTGCTTGGTAATAGTTTTAAATCTGTAAGAAGCAATGCAATGAACATTTTAGCATACATAACATACTCCTGGGAAAAGTCCACTGCAGAATAAAAAGTGAAGCTGCATAACCATATATGGTTAGCCAGTTTTCCCAGCACCATTTATTGAATAGGGAGTCCTTTCCCCATTGCTTATTTTTGTTGACTTTGTCAAAGATCAGATGGCTGTAAGTGTGTGGTTTTATTTCTGGGTTCTCTATTCTGTTCCATTGGTCTATGTGTCTGTTTTTGTACTAGTACCATGCTGTTTGGGTTACTGTAGCCTTGTAGTATAGTTTGAAGTCAGATAATGTGATGCCTCTGGCTTTGTTCTTTTTGCTTAGGATTGCTTTGGCAATTCAGGCTCTTTTTTGGTTCCATATGGATTTTTGAATAGCTTTTTCCAATTCTGTGAAAAATAATGATAACTTGATAAGAATAACATTGAATCTGTAGATTGCATTAAGCAGTATAGCTATTTTAATGATACTGATTCTTCCAAATCGATGAGCATGGGATGTTTTTCCATTTGTTTGTGTCACCTATGATTTCTTTCAGCAGTTTTTTGTACTTCTCTTTGTAGAGATTTTTCATCTCTTTGATTAGATGTATTCATAGATGTTTTAATTTTTGTGGCTATTGTAAATGAGATTGTGTTCTTGATTTGGCTCTCAGTTTTTGGTATATAGAAACGCTACTGATTTCTGTGCATTCATTTTTGTATGCCCCCACTTACTGAAGTCATTTATCACATCTAGGAGTCTTTAAAGTTTTCTAGGTAAAGAATCATATCATCAGCAAAGAGAGCTAATTTGACTTCCTCTTTCCTTATTTGGATGCTTTTTGTTTCTTTCTCTTAAATGATTGCTCTGGCTAGAACTTCCAGTACTATGTTGAATATGGGTGATGAAGTGGGCATCCTTGACTTTTTCCAGTTCTCAAAGGGAATGGTTCTAGCTTCTGCTGATTCAGTATGATGTTGGCTGTGGGTTTGTCATAGATGGCTCTTATTATTTTGAAGTATGTTCCTTCAATGCCTAGTTTGTTGAGGATTTTTATTATGAAAGGATGTTAGATTTTATCAAATGCTTCTTCTGCATCTATTGAGATAATCATATGGTTTTTGCTTTTAATTCTATTTATATGGTGAATCACATTTATTGATTTGCGTATATTGAACCAACATTGCATCCCAGGAATAAAGCCTATTTGATTATGGTGAATTAACTTTTTGATGCGCTGCTGGATTCAGTTTGCTAGTATTTTATTGAGGATTTTTGTGTCTCTATTCATCAAATATATTGGCCTGTAGTTTGTTTTTCCATTGTGTCTTTGCCAGATTTTGGTATCAGGATGATACTTGTCACATAGAAGAGTTAGGGAGGAAAACTTCCTCCTCAATTTTTTTGAATAGTTTCAGTAGAATTAGTACCAACTTTTCTTTTTACATCTGGTAGAATTCAGCTGTGAATCTATCTGGTCTGGGGCTTTTTTTGTTTTTTGTGGTTGGTAAGTTTTTAAATTATTGATTCAATATCAGAACTAATTATTGGTCTGTTCAGGGTTTCAATTTCTTCCTGATTCAGTCTTGGGAGGTTGTGTGTTTCCAGGAATTCATCTGTTTTCCCTAGATTTTCTAGTTCGTGTGCATAGAGGTGTTTGTAATAGTCTCTGAGGATCCTTTGTATTTCTGTGGAATCAGTTGCAATGTCACCTTTGTCATTTCTGATTGTGCTTATTTGGATCTTCGCTCTTTCTCTGTTAATCTAGCTAGAGGTCTTTCCATCTTGTTTATCCTTTTAAAAAACTGACTTTTCATTTTGTTGATCCTTTGTATGATTTTTTAAGTCTCAATTTGATTAATTCTGCCCTGATTTTAGTTTTCTCTTTTTTTCTAGCTTTGGAATTAGTTTCTTCTTGTTTTCCTAGTTCCTTAAACTGTGGTGTTAGATTATTAATTTGATATCTTTCTAGGTTCTTGATGTAGGCATTTAGCACTATAAACATTCCTCTTAACATTGCTTTTGCCACATCCCAGATATGCTGTTGGTATGCTGTGTCTCTGTTTTCATTTGTTTCAAAGAATTTTTTGATATCTGCCTTAATTTCATTGTTTACTCAAAAGTCATTCAGAAATAAGTTGTTTAGTTTCCAGGTTATTTCATGGTTTTGAGAGTTCCTCTTGGTATTGATTTCTATTTTTATTCTACTGCAGTCTGAGAATATGCTTGGTATAATTTTAATTTTTTGAATGTATTGAGACTTGCTTTATGACTGAGCATGTTGCCAGTCTTAGAGTATGTTTCGTATACAGATGAGAATAATGTATATTCCATAGTTGTTGGGTGGAATATTCTATAGATGTCTCTTAGGTTCAATTGGTCAAGTGTTAAGTTTAAGTCCAGAATTTCCAGAATTTCTTTGTTAGTTTTCTGCCTCAGTGATCTGTGTAACACTGTCAGTGGGGTGATGAAGTCCCCCACTATTATTTTCTGGGTGTCTAACTCTTTTCCTAGGTCTAAAAGTGCTATGTTTATGAATCTGGGTACTCCAGTGTTGGGTACATATATATTTAGGATAGTTAAGTCTTCTTGTTAAATTGAACCCTTTATCATTATGTAATGACCCTCTTTGTCCTTTTTTACTGTTGTTGGTTTAAAGTCTGTTTTATCTGATACAAGAATAGCAACCCCTGCTCTTTTTTGTTTTCTATTTGCATGATAGATCTTTCTGCATCCTTTACTTTGAGCCCATGGGTGTCATTACACATGAGATGGGTCTCAAAGACAGTAGAGGGTTAGGTTTTGTTTTCCTCTCCAATTTGCCACTCTCAATCTGTTAGGTGAAGCGTTCCTGTCATGCTGTTGTTAGCTGGTTGCTTTGTAGTCTCGATTGTGTAGTTGCTTTATTGGGTCTGTGGGCTATGTACTTACTTGTGTTTTGAGGAACCCAGCATATTTAAATAATTAAACCAAAGTAGTAATAAAGGTGTTACTTAAAATTGTTTTAAAGATTCTTGTAATATTTTTAACACTAATAATTTTTAATATGCAAAAATCCCCTCATAATATTCTTGTTTTTACTATCTATAGAGATTACTGGCTGGTTACTTAGCAATGACAAACTTTGGAAAGAGTGATACCAACCAGTTGACAATTCTACATCTTACTGCTTAACGGAAAACTCAGGTAATCTTCATTTTAAATACCTTTCAATGAGATCAATACTACACCTGCAATTCAAGGTATCTGAGGCCATTGTAAACTGTTTTTCCATGAAAATATAGCTATGTAAGAAATAAATTTCAATTAGCTTAAATTTTTTATTTACATGGTTTCACATAAAAATAAAAATAGAAGGATGACATAAAAATAAATGAAGTTGAGAATTTAGATTTAGTTTTTAAGGGCTCTTTTTCCTACCTGGTTCACCATTGCATCAGTAACATCTATGTTTGGTTTCTGTCCAAAGGGAACTGTCAAAGAGTACAGATTTGTCCAAAATCTACCCCACATATCACCTATTTTTTAAAAAAAATCTGTTAGTATATGACAAAGCAGCAGAAATGTAGACATAATTTATTAAATATATGGACCATCACTGATACTGTAAATTAGAAAGAGATTTCTATAATCCACCACCCATGGTACAAAATATTACAAATTAAGCTGTTAGTAATTCCCAATGTTGGCTTCAAAAGAGGTCATATAAGATCATCATTCAGGAACTTCTACTAACTGGTAACTAAATTCCACTTTTATTCCTATATTCGTGTACTTAACTTGGTGACTTTGTAAACATCTCAAACAAATGTTAAGTTGTATTCCAAGGCCAGAGACCATGAAAAAGAAGATGTATTTAGAAAAAGTCAATCTAAGAGCGGGACCAGAATCCTGGTGCCAAAGAAATGGGGCAACAAACTTCATGAAGAATACTCCTGTAATCCCAGCACTTTGCAGAGCTGAGGCAGGCAGATCACTTGAGATCAGGAGTTTGAGACCAGCCTGGCCAACATAGTAGAGACATGGCAAAGCCCTGTCTCTATTAAAAATACAAAAATTAGCTGGGCGTGGAGGCTTGAGCCTGTAATCCCAGCTACTTGGGAGGCTGAGGCAGGAGAATCGCTTGAACCCAGGAGGCAGAGGTTGCAGTGAGCTGAGATCAGCCACTGCACTCCAGCCTGGGTGATAGAGCGAGACTCCATCTGAAAAAAAAAAAAAAACTCTATAAACTTATATTTTAAAAGATAAAATTTAGTAGTGATACATGTGAAGTCCTATGCTTAAATTTTAAAGAAAAACTTAACCATCATAAAAACATATATGTGGCATTAGGCTAAAGCACAGTGCACATCTAAAAGACCAAAAATGAGCCAACAAACAGTATGGCCTGGCTTCTAAAGCATAAATGTGACCTTGAGCTAAATCAATAGAAGTATAGTGTCTAGAACAAAGGTAGTCATGGTACCATGTCTTTCTTTATGTTGGTCAAACCTCATCTGGAGTAACTGTTCATCTCTGAGCATGATAATTGAGGAGGCACATTGACAAAGTACAGTTCATCAAAATGAGAACAATTATAGAAAAGTGAGGTTTTAAGGAATGGTCGATAATGTATAAGATATTTAACTTGACAAAAGAAAACAGTGTAAACATGACAATAACAATAATAGTCACTAAAATGTATTGCACCAAGTACTATGCTGTATCTTATATGATGGTTCTTTATGAATATCTGGAAGGTCATCTTGTAGAATAGGAATTGACATTCTGGGTAACCTCATAGCATGGAAATAAGACTAATGAATGGAAGTCATCAGAGGGGTGTTGCTTAAGTTCCACATAAGGTAGAATTGTGTTACATTGGTTCCAGGTAGCAGTAAATTAGTCTGCATTGGAATGAAGAAATTATCCCATCACACCAGACAGGTTTAAGCAGAAACTGAACTACTAAATAATGCTTGCCACTGACTTTGTAGAAAGGATTTCCACATTACTTTAGAGTTAAAGGTCTCCACAGGTCCTTTCTCCGCATTCTCTCCTGCTGACAGACACAAGGTTTGGCTGTGAAGGAGATTAGCTTCCTGCAACTTAGTTTGACTACAGTAGAAATGCTATGTATGCATGGCATGAAATTTTCAAATATTTATATTTTATTTGGCCTCAGTTGCTGCGGTGGGAGAGGAGAAGATGGTCACTTTCATTCTTCACTCATGCGATTCCAAGCCAAGGACTTTTCAGCAAAAGTAATTGGTGAGGTCTAGAATGAAGTTAGGAAGCTTTCGCCCAAGCTATACCTTTCTGCTACCCGACCACCCCCAGCCAACCAAGCTTTTTTCCTCTGATGATATGATACTAAAATCTCAAATTCCACCTTAAGAGCTTAGTCAACCAACTTAAATACTAAAAATTATTTTCCCCATTTCCACTCTCATTTGAGCCTGTAATTCTTTCTCTAGTTATCTTAAATAACCCCTTTATCATTTGAATTGCAGCCAAAATAATAACTCTTTATGTATAAAAAAGTAATACAATAGAGAATTGTTTAAAATAGACTTCTGGTTGAAGAAAATGCTTTCAAAATGTGATTTCTACAATGTTACCACTTACAGAATTTTTCAAAAGTTTTATGTTAAGGCTCACTCAAAAAGGCAATTTTATTGTTAGAAATAACAAAAAGCCAAGTACATGAAGAATTCATGGGCTTCTTACCAAGCAAATGAGCAGGGAGGCATCCAGTTGGACTAATATAGGAAGGGTAGGCATTCATCAACTTTGCCCTCACATAGGCATGAAGATGTTCATATAATGGTTTAATCTGAAAAGCCCAGGAAGAAAGTTTAAGACCAAGAGTAACCAATTCTAATTTCCATTCAACAACACTAGAAATAGGAGATTCTTTAAACAAGTAGAATTTCACCAAATTATAATTCTTCTTCTCTCAAATTTCTGGAAAATTTAAAAGTATTCCTTCTTCCTAGATATTGATGATAACTCCACTGCATAAGTCGATAAACATACTTGGGAGAACGCAGGTCCCAAAATAAAAGCAGAAAATATATATTCATTTTTAAGATTGTTACCTCCTTCCTTTGTTTTAGTTTGAGGTATAATTTACATACTATAAAATTCACCCATTTTCAAGAGTGTAGTTCCATGAGTTTCAATAAATTAAAACTACTGGGAAACTATCACCACTATCTAGTTTTTTAACATTTCTATAACCACAAAAGGTTTCTTGTAGTCAGTTCTACTCCTATCTCTGGCCACTCTGAGTATATCAGAGTCTGTTTATCCATTCACTAGTTGAAGGACAGCTGAGTTTTCCAGTTTGGGGCTATTATGAATATTGCTGCTATGAACATTTGTGTATGTGTTTCTATGGACAAGGATATAGGTTTTCATTTATTTCACATAGAAACTTAAGAGTCATGGTAAGTGTGTGCTTAACTTTTTAAGAAATTGCCAAACTGTTTTCCAAAGTGACTGCCCCATTTTACACTTCTTCCCGCAGTGTAAGAGGGCTCCAGCGTCTCACATTTTCCCCAATATTTGGTATTGTCCGTCTTTTTAATCATAGCTATTCTGGTGGGTGTGGAGGGGATTTTCATCATGGCTTTAATTTGCATTTCCCTAATAACTTTTTATTTTCTTATTTGCCATTTGTGTCATTGCTTTGATGATGTACTTATTCAAGTCTTCTCCCCATTTCCTTTTTGGGGAGTTGTTTATCTTACTTCCATTTTTGATAGCTCTGCCAAACTATGGCTGTGACAAGGTAACTCACATTAGAAGTTTGAAGGTGCAGGTAAAGGGGAGGCATGGGGTCAAAATGAAGGAAAAACATCCGTGGGACATTTCTGTTCACAAAACTCTCTCTTCCCTATGAAGACTAGCTTAAAGTAATAGTATCAATTGTCCTGAGGAAGGAAGCAAAGTCTATAGCTCTGCTAACACAGCAAGACAGTGCCAGCCCCAGGTAGCTCAAGAAGATCATTCCTACTTATAAGCTAAAGGACCATTTCTTCTTATAATATTTCATTCCTATAGCCTTTCCATTGGTAATTAATGGTCAGTGACTGAAAGAAGGAGGAAAGCAGAGCAATTCTGATCATCTGTAGGACTGTCCTATTATTCTCTAAAATCTTTTCAAACTCTAATATTCCATAACTTTATGAGGCCTGGGAATGGCTGACCAATGTGTTAAGAATGAGCCAGAATGCCTTTAGTCGGTGTCCCTCTTTCCCATACACTGCCCCACAGCTGTTTCTGTGTACAGTTCCTTGCTTACCTCTTCAAAGGTACGTTCCACATCTTCAATCAACTGGTCGCGGTTGTAGTCATAGCCATCTACCCCGTTTACTTCATAGTCTCCTCTCCAATAATCCCCATAGTCCTTATAATCTTTTTTTTTTTTTTTTTAAGAGAAAGGGAAGAACATAAGGGAAAGAAAGAGAGAGAGCACAATATACATCGATTAGCCTTGCTGGGAGGTTAAAAGAAATGTAAAGGCTTATCACATTTTTATTGTGATAATCATCAACTCAAAGGGATGCAAACGAATAATAACATAAAGTAATCTCTGTTTAAACACTTGCTCTGTGCCAGGAGTTTAAATGTATTATTTTATTTAATAAGCACAAGAACCATATAATATTGTCATTATTATAACTCCCACTATGCAGAGTAATAGCCTATGTTTATTTTTAAATAAATTTTATTGCATATATTTAAGGTGTACACCATGATGTTATGAGATACATATATAATAAAATGGTTACTATAGTAAACAAAATTAACATATCTATCATCTCACATAGTTGAGCATTGTCCCCCCATGGAAGAGCAGCTAAAATCTACTCATTTTGCAAAAATCCTGAATACAAAACATTATTATTAACTATAGTCCTTACGTTGTACATTAGATCTTTAGACTTGTTCATCCTACATGTCTGCACTTTGAATCCTTTAACCCACTTCTCCCCATATTCCACCCCGCTCCACCTCACCTCTGGTAATCACGATTACTCTATCTCTGTATATTTGATTTTTTTGTAGAATCCACGTTTGAGTGAGATGATGCTATATTTTTCTTTTTATGTCTGGATTATTTCACTTAGCATAATGTCCTCCAGGTCTATCCATGTTGAGGCAAATGACAGGATCTCCTCTTTTAAGGTTGAATAATATTCCATTCCATATACCTACCACAGTTTCTTTATTCATTCACCCCTTGACAAACACTTAGGTTGTTTCCCTATCTTGGCTATTTCGATTAATGCTGCAGTGAACATGGCAGTGTAGATATCCTTATGAAGTATTAATTTCATCTAATTTAGGTATATACCCAGGAGAGGGATTGCTGGATCATATGGTAATTCTATTTTTAATTTATTTAGGAATTCTCATACTATTTTTCCAAAACAGCTTCACCAGTTTATATTCCCACTAACAACCTGTGCTTAGAGTGGTTAAATCGCTTGTCCAAGATCACACCGCTGGTAAGCGAAAGAAGCACACTCCTAGTCTCTCAATTCTGGGTGTGTACTCTCTTGATACATCAGTTTGTATCTTTAGCTTTAAAATATGTGACTGGATCTCTAAGTTTTTAAATTCTTCTTTTGTTCAGGGCCTTGTATTTTTAGATCAGACCCAACTCATCTTAGACTTTGCCACAGTGAACTTGTGTTTGTTTGCAAATTATATGTATCAATAGCATGTTTCTATGTGCTTCCTTTAGTATCTCACCATCAGGAAACACAAGCTTGTGTTAGGATATTAGCTAATAAAGTTTGTAAACATAATTTAATAATTTTTATTTTTACATTCACATTTCCAATTAATGACCAGGAAGATGAGGACAGAAATAAATATTTGGATGAAAGGACATGCAGGATATTGTTTTAAAAATGGTGATAAGCTATTGTCTCCAGCTTGCGTAAGGCTTAAGAATATTGAATTTAAGTGCAGTGAAGGAAATTTTAAAACAACAAATGGGGGAAAAAATTCTTCCTTACTCAACCTCAGTGGGCAGTAAATCATCAAAGCACCATGTGAATAATGATTCCATGACTTCAGCTCACTATTCAGGGAAGAGAATAAGTTAAGAGATATGGAAATTCCTTCCTACGTTAAGATTTTTTATGACCACATAATTTGAGATATAATTACAATTGCAGAAAATAATACATTTCCAGCCTAAACTAATCTGATTTTTTTTTCTTTCTGGGGTATCGCCCTAAGGTAGACACACAAATGACCTTTGAAAGTGAACTGTGGGGGCTTTAGACAAAAGACAGTGACTCTGTCTCTCATCCTGAGAAATGGGATCCCCCCTTAATCCCCAGACTCCCTCAGGAACTTTTAAGGGTCTGAGATCTTCCTAGATTACTTATAATTCATAATTCCTGGATAATTTATTTTAGGCCTTGTAGTTGAGTCTCATTATTGAGCTTCTTGAATTGTAGAATACCAGTGCACCTTTTCTTTTTCCCCAGTAATTTCTTTTTAAAACAGGTAATCTGAATTGTTCAGGAGATGATTGTTAATTGAGGAGTATCCCTGATATCAAAGGGCAGGCTTGGTAATGCAGAAGAAATAGCCCCGCGGCCACACAGAGAGCTTCAGGACCTCTACAGATCAGCAAACTTACGATTTGCTCTTGCCATCTCATTTTTCAAGACCACATACTCTTCATATAATGGCCTCAGCTGCTTGCCGACCTCAGATCTCCAGCCTTCCCAAGCCCAGAGCCTCTCATTGTAGTCTAAACTCTTTTCCATTATTTCATTCAAACCTGTTATCCCAAAGCACACAAAGACAAGAAAAGATGCATTTGTAAAAATTTTATTTGTAAGTAACTACATGAACTTTAAAGAATTAAAAGTAAGGTTGGCAGACATCAGGTCATAAAGTGGTTAAATAAAATCTCATGATTCATTCATTTCCTTGCCCTTATAGTTCCAAAATACGTCTGCAGAGAAAATAAACCACTGAAATAACTTACTTATTGACTTGATTAAATTAAGTAAATGTGATAAAATTTACAAGAAAGTTAAAAGACCATGTATGTGTTGAAACACACATATTTGCAATCATTTTTAAAACTTTGGAGAAAAGTAAATTTCATAATCACTACTCAAAATTAGTAGCCTACCTGGATCAAGTAATAAGCATTCCTGGGGATTATTTGGGTTACAAACTTTTCCAGTACTGTAGATGGTGCTCATTGTATTTAGAATTGTGTTCAACTGCAAATTTAAGATAATAAACAATGTTAACAATGGAAATTTTGCTGAAGAGAATGCTAATATAAACACACCCTTTTGGCCACATGATTTTTTGATTCCTCAAAATACAGCAATTTACTTCTTTGCCATGTAGAGAAGGAATAGCCCAGTTAAGTTTTCCCACTGTCAACTAGCACAAAGTGCTATGAGCACATAATAAATATATATGGAGTAACTGAAATAACCAGATCTACCAAAACCCAAAGAATTAACACAGAGAAATGCATTTTTTGTTTCGTTCAGCATTTATCGAACCTGTAATATGTCCTACACTCTGACAGTTCTGAAATGAACAAGTCAAAGACCGTAAAGTCATAGGACAGTGAGGCAGCCATGAAATCAGTAACTATTAATACATAACAGAATGACAAGTGCTATAACTGTCACCAAAAAGTGATGCAGTAGTATAGAAGCAGGGAGAAATTAATAACTAATAACCTGGAGATTCAAGAATGGGTCCAAAGAGAAGGGAAGATAAGAGTTGTGTCTTGGAGAAGAAGTAGGCATTGGTCATGTAGAAAAGGGAGGTAGAGGGAAGAGTCTAAAAGATGGAAGGAGGTTGGAAAAGACAAGGCATTCCCAGGGGACAGTGAGATGTTGAATGAAACTAGAGTGACGGTGTTCATTAAGGGAAATGAAAGACATGAGAATGGAGAGATAAGCAGGGGCCAGATCACGAGGGACCATCTATGCCATACTAAAGTTGCTAAACTTTACCCTGTAGGTAAAGTGAAGGTGACAGAGTGAAGCAGTGATACTCCAGGTGTAATCCGTGGACCAGTGCACATGAGCAAATAGTTTGCTTCCATTCTGTGATAAGTACAGGAATTAAGAGAATAAAAGTTTATAAACTTTGGAAAACAGTTTGATATTTCCATGACATCTAAGCTTGTAATCAGTGAACTTAAGCAAGTATTGATCTGCAATGTATTGGAAATAAAGGAATAAAGGAGGGAGAAAGGAAAGACGGGAGGGAGGAGAGAAAGAGGGAAGGAGGAAGAGAAGGAAGGAAGGAAGGAAGGAAATGGTTCTCTTCCTCAGATTGATTTAAGAAGCACTGGATTAAAGGATCTGTTTCTCCTTCTCCTGTTTCTCTTTGGTTCTGCCTTGAGAGTGATCCTAAAACATGAAATAGACCTTACGCTTAAAACTTCCACACGATCCCATAGTCCAAAGGAATAAACCTAAATTCCTTACCATGGCACAAAACCCCTCACGGTCTCTTTCTACTTCTTCTTCAATCTCTACTGCTTCCTCTCCATCGAATCTAAGCACCCTTGAGTCCCTCCTCTTCCCAAACACTTTAAGCTCTTACATGAATTTCAGTGGTTTTTGGTCCTGACTGCACATTAGAATTATCTGGGGATTTTTTTAAAAATAAAATTTCCAGGTTCCACCTAGGCTAGACCAGGCTGTCTATATGTGAACAGGCAAGGTTTCTCATAGTGTCCTCGTGGGGGGGGGTGGGAAATGGAGAAACAGAATGGATAAGGTAGAGTGGATTGATAATTAGTTGGATAATTGGATCCAAAGAATGCAGAAAAATAAATGTTAACTTGTAGAAAGATACATTTCACATGGTTTTATCTTTGCCTTTTTGATACACTTTTATTTTTATATACACAGATTAGAACATACAAAGTTCCAGAGGACAAGCAACTGAGAAAGAAGACTTTCTTTTTAAATAGCTAAATATTTTAGACTAAAAATATTTCAATAGGCTATATCAGAAGTCTGCAAACTATGTTCTGCAGACCAAATCCTGTCTGCTGCTTGTTTTTGTAAAGTTTTATTTGAACACAGCCATGCTTGTTCATTTACACATTAGCTACAGCTGATTTCCTGATACAACAGCACAGTTGACTAGTTGTAACACAGACAATACCTAAATACACAAACCCGAAAATATTTACTCTCATCTGTTCCTTTATAGAAAAAAAGTTTGCTGTTGACATTGTGGACAAGATCATTCTTTGTTGTTGGGGGCCATCCCATACATTGTGAACTGTTCTGCAGCATCCCTACCCACTAGATGTCAATAGTATCCCGCATTTGTGGCAACCAAAAACGTCTCCAGACATTGTCAAATACCCCCAGAGGGCTAAAGCATCCCCAGTTGAGAACCACTGACACAAACTAACTGTATTCTCCAGGCTGCCTGATCCTTCAGGAAGGTGACCTAACACTAGGGGGTGTCCATACACACCACAGTGCCAGGGACAATCTCAGTTTAACTCTGTGTTTGAATATAATTATTACCAGTATCTTTCACTCTCAAAAAGATTCCAGTTTGAATAATAAATTGTATGGTCACCTTACCTAGGGATAGAGAGAGCTTTTTCTAACATCAGCATTACTATCTTTTCAAATAAAGGAAGCTGCTGTGGGTGATATTAATGTTTAATATTTCCCAAATATTTCAACTCTTGGGATCAATGCTAAAATGTTCACAGACGTACCCGTTTGCTCTTGTCTTCTGAGAGCACTGAAGACCCATTTTGCTGAAGAGCCTGCAACTGAAGCTTGACTGTGAGATTCTGAATTGCTTGTAGTGGATACATTTGGGCAAGTGTGGACTGTTCCTTTAAAAAGGCAGACCATTTTTCCCCAGCATTATTCTGAAATGACATGAAAGAAAATTGAAGTCGGAATGGCATTGCTTGAACAGATAGAACAGAAGATATAGTACAAAGAATATCTGGTGAAACATTTAGTATTTCCTGAGTGATTTAGTCCTCTACTCTGCTGAAGGTCAAGGTTTAGGTTAAGAGTGACCAGGCCACTTTTGATCACTCTCTCTCTCTCTCTCTCTGGCCTATTGCCTGGTTTTCCCAAGGGTCCTGTCCCCAGAACTGGAAGTGAATTCTCACAGATAATCCACATTGTGGGGCCCTGGAATTTGTAGCCTTAGTGCTGTGACGTAGGTGAGTTGGCCAAGGATTCAAAAATGAGTGCTCTAAAAGGAGAATCCAGTGCAGGTCAGAGTGGACTTAATGAGAATACAGACCCCTAATAACAATAGAAACCATAGGAAATGAGAACCAGTTCACAGTAACCTCCTAGCTGCCATAACTTAGCCCAAGGATTTTGATCTTAAGTTAGGATTCCCAAAAAAGGCTTCCCAGAAAATGGCCATTGGTAGCCATGGTGATTTTCTACCAGCAAAAGAAATCATCAAGCAGGTGATGATGCCAGGACACATTTCCCACCCCGCCTCCTCCCGCTGCCCAATCTTGAACATCAGTTGGAAAGTGAACTTCTCCAGACTACTCTAGTGTAGTCTTTTCTCAAGGTACAAATTCATTTCCATTTACCAAAGACCAAAATGAGCAACTACTTGGTATAGTGTACTGCTCTAGACCACACAAAAGAGATAATGTGTGAGGAAAGTAAGAATTCCGCTCCTGGACTCAAGTACCTTAGCCTCTCTGAGCCACAGTTGTCTTATCTGCAAAATGGAAGTAATAATAGGACTTACCTCAAAGGACTGTTGTAAGGATTCGAAGAAGTAACAAAAAATGAAATGCTTACAAGAGTGCCTAACACATCCTAATCATTCAACAAATGTTAGTTATTTTATTATTTATTTGTTATTTATTATTATGTTATGATTGATTTTATATTTTATGTATAGGGGGAAAGTTCTTGTCCTTAGATTGCTTTCAATTGTATCAGACAGGTAAGATAGGCATTATAAATGTTTCATTAATGAAACATAAGAGTATTTAGTAATGTATAAATCATGAGTGGGCCAACCAGTTTCTGTTACAAGAAAGAGGAAATTCATGCAGGTGACTATATTTGGCCAAGCTCTCATGCAGAAGTTGCAACTTAAGACAGACCTGAAAGTAGGTAGGAGTCAGATGAGTAGACAATACTTTGCAAAATAATTTACCTCATTTGATTTTCTTAACAACACTATGAGGTAGAAAATCACTCTCTCTCCTTTTTTATACATACAGAAAGGGGCTGAAAGAAATAAACAGTGGAGCTGGCAATCAGCCACCAGCATTTGATCCTGGCCCTGTGGCAGACAGACTCTAAGAATGCTCCCATGATCTCTGCCTTTGGTGGTGACACCCTTGTGTGATCCCCTCCCCATAAGTATGAGCAGACCTGTGATTTACTTTCAACCGATAACATACAACACAGGTGACAGGATGTTCATGTTTATGTTACATAAGATTTTAACTTTAATCTTGATAGAAGACTCTCTCCTTTGCTGACTTGTTGCAGCAAGATGCCATGTTGTGAGCTACCCTATGGAAAAGGCCACATGGCAAATAATTAAAGATGGCCTCTGAGTAATTGCATTGGCGTGGAAGTAGATCGATCACCAATCAAGCCTCAGAAGAGACCATAGCTCTAGCCAGCACCTTGAATGCAACCATATGAGACTTAGAAGCAGAAGATCCGGCTGAACTGTGCCTGGACTCCTAGCCCACAGATACTGTGGGATAATAAATATGCTTTGTTTTAATCTGCTAAGCTTGTGGTAACTTTTTGCACAATAGATAACTAGTACAGCTCCCACAGGTAGAACTTCAGGCATGATTGCACTTTCCAGGCCAAGGAATTTCACTTTTACCCTCTGAGAATTAAGCAGTCACTGAGCGTTTTGACTACGCATGTGACATGATGGAAATGGTGCATGGAAGTGGCAGTAATTAACCACACAAGAGATAAAGAAAATAGTGGCAGTGAAAATGGAAAATAGGCTGTGTGTGGTGGTTCATGCCTGTAATCCCAGCACTTTGGGAGGTTGAGGTCAGAAGATCGCTTGAGCCCAGAAGTTTGAGACAAGTCTGGGCAACATGGCGAGACCCCATCTCTGCGAATAATACAAAAATCAGCCAGGTGTGGTGGCTCGCACGTGTAGTCCCAGCTACACAGGAGGCTGAGGTGGGAAGATTGCCTGAGCTTGGGGAAGTCGAGGCGCAGTAAGCCATGATTGTGCCACTGCACTCCAGCCTGAATGACAGAATGAGAATGTCTCCAAAAAAAAAAAAAAAAAAAAAAAGGAAAGCAATTTCTCTCTTTACTGAACACTCACAACCTCTCAGAAACTGCTTTTTGATTAATCTTCACAACAACCAACCTTGTGAGGGAGTTGTTATTGTCTCAACTTTGCATATAAGGGAAATTAGGCACACAGCAGGTAACTTTCCCTAGGTCACACAGCTAGAAATTAGAAGAACCAGGGCATCAACTCAGTGTTTATTTCCAAAGCTAATGCCCTGAACTATTATCCTACAGATTGTGTTTGACACAGTCTAGTCTTCTCTGTAACATGCAGGAGTGGGAAGAAGTGAGCTATTGGAAGAGGAATTTGGTCTGCAGCACAGACGCATCTATGCAACTCACCTGACTCACTTCTCAGTCCCTACCTGGCTTCACCCAATCCAGATGATTTACTGTGAAGCAAAATTTCTGGTAAAACTTTCATACCAAATTATAGGAATAATTTTACTCTCTATCTACAGGAAATAACTCGCAACCTCCCAAAGGCCTCAGTCTTAGAACATTGTTTATCATACTATATGTGAGAATTTTGAGGCTATCCAATTATATTTTATTTATCACTACCATCCTACATGTGTTATAATTGTAACACCAAAAAAATCACTTTGTGTTGCCCTGCATTTTGGCCCCTGAGGATGTATTATTCCTTGCCAAGCTATTCTTTTAATATTATTTACAATTTATTCCATATCCTTACCCTACGGCTCCCAAGCCTAAATAAAACAGACAGCTTAGCAGTTATGCAAAGAATCAGTCAGTTCATGCATACCTATCAGATAATGTAGCGGTTGATAGCGATATGTAAGCTGAATGATGAATGGAATGAAACATATATAGCAGTTTACATAGCCCCAGGCTTGAAAGAAACCATTACAGATAAAATTGGTGGCATTCCATACTACCTCTGGGCAAAGGCAGGAGAGAAGCAACTAAAACTGCAACAATTTCTGTAGCCATACAAGGGAGTTTTGGGAGTAAGGCACACATTGTTTGAGATAATCACAAGAAATTAAAACACTCTCTAAACCCCATCTATAATTGCAATGGATAGCATTTTCCCAACTTGAAAGAGATCCTTTGTAATTTCAAGGACTGGAGCTGTAAAATCCTAAATTGTATTTTAAAACATTCGAAAAGATACTCTGCTCTTTTTGGCCCTAACTATATGCACAAATTAAATATATGATTTCTTAGGCCATAGGTCTGGTGGTCTTTACCCAACTTGTGATAATTGTATTTAAACTATTAAAATCCTTTTGTAAGAAGTTGTTTGAGATTTAAAGTATTGACAACTTATCTTCTCTTTTTCTATAGCTCACTATTGCCTAAACCAGGCTATATACTTTTAGTAACCTCTAAACCATTTCTTCCCCTGAAGGTGTGAGAGTTCCATGAAGACAGAAAATGAAAACCTGAATGGAATCTTTAGCATCTATCCAGTACCTTGGAGCCCAAAAATCTCCCAGGAAAACCTTCACCCTTGACTCCCATATGCTGGTTCAATTTCCAGATAGAGCTGTCAAAACCACATTGGGTTCAAAGACAAAAGCTGCCTTGGTTACTTTCTAAATATGCCCAGGTACTTGCATATTAAAAAAACAAAACAAAACACATTCCATTTAACAAAATAGGTAATGTAAATTATAAGAATGTGAATTCCATAACTCAAGCTTGGGATTTCAGAAATTATTTTTTCTTTATTTTAGATGGGAGGTTTAATATTTTAACATTTACAATTTTTAATCTGTATGAACATTTTTATTTTTTCCTAATTTTATCTCATGGGAAAAAAAAGTGCTCAGCCCTGAATTTTATTTTATGTGCTGCACAGTGATCTTCCCCAACTTGTACCTGTGGGTAGGTGTTCATGTGTATTAAGGGGCATGGGACAGACTCATTAAAGACAGGGATGAAATTTCCTTGGGTATATACAGAATAGTGGTTTAGAATCATCCTGCTGAGTTCACTGTGACTCTATCCCTGGAGACAGGAATAGGTTCAGAAACGGGGCATGCCCAAGACCCTAGGGGCCCTGGCAGCAGGGGGCTGAAGAAGCTCTGGAGACCATGCAAAGAGTAAGTGTGGTAGGCTAAGTGCAGTGGCTCATGCCTGTCATCCCAGCACTTTGGGAGGCTGAGGCAAGAGGATCGCTTGAGCCCAGGAGTTCAAGACCAGACTGGGAGACAAAGTGAGGTCTCTTCTCTACCAAAAAAAAAAAAAAAAATTAAATGAGGTGGGAGGATTATTTGAGCCCAGGAGGTCAAGCTGCAATGAATCACGATCATGCCACTCCATTCCAGCCTGGACAACGGAGCAAGACCCTTCAAAAAAAAAAAAAAAAAAGTATGGGCTTCATGCTCTCTCTTCATGGCTTCTGATAACTCACCAAGAAATAGCTACAACGTATCCTTGCTTTTGTTTTTTGGCCAGGAATTGCTGAAAGTCTTGTAAGAAAACATGAGAAATGGAGTCAACCACACCTACCACAATGGCAGAGAAAGGGACAGAGCTTTGGAAACCTGTTTTAACCAAGCCTTTTTTTTTCCCATATCTCTATCTGATAGACCTCTCCACACTTCTACATCAGCAGATTTATGACACTATACTGATCAAGTTTTGATGCCTTCTATTATTTTGAGGTATATTCTCAGAGCTTGACATAAGGATCACCACATTAGGTCAAATCCATAGGCTGACAAGGATATTCTGACTTCTGAAAGTTACACCATAGGACAATATGGGAATGGTAGATTATCCTCAATCATGTCACTCTGATAGGATATGAACATACACATGTCATGCAGCCCAAATTTCTGTTCCCGTATCAGTTAGTTATTGCTACACTAATACTACATAACAACTTTGTTTGTTTTTTGTTACGTAGTACTACATAACAAGCAACTTTGTTTGTTATTTAGTACATAACAAATAACCTTCTGTTATGTAACACTAAATAACAAATAACAAACCTCAGTGGCTTAAGCGGTTATTGTTTACCACTAGAAACAATATTTTGGGTGGCAAAATTCTGCTTTGGTTATAGTTTGAATCGTTTTCCAAATACTTGTCTGTATATTGAGCTGCCAAAAATTTACTTTATGGCATATTATAAGTATTTATTTTATGGAAGAACTTTTTTCAGATTTTGCAAACCTTCTTTGAGGTAAAAAGTATATCACAAACACCAAGATTTGAAGCACTAAGTGGCCTTAGAAATATTAATGGTAATTTCTTTCTCTCTCTCTCTCTCTCTCTCTCTTTTTTTTTTCTGATAGGGCCTCACTCTGTCTCCCAGGCAGTGTCAAGATTTCAGCTCAGTACAACCTCTGCCTCACGGACTCAAGTGATCCTCCTGCCTCAGCCTCCCGAGTAGCTGGGAGTACACGCGTGTGCCACCACATCCAACTAATTTTTGCATTTTTTGTAGAGACAGGGTTTTGCTATGTTGCCCAGGCTGGTCTCGAACTCCCGAGCTCAGATGATTCACCCACGTCGGTCTCTCAAAGTCCTGGGATTACAAGTGTGAGCCACCACACCCAGCCAGTAATTTCAAATATTTTACTTATTTTCAGTTAAGAGTGGGTTATTCATCAGAAAATATTCAAAACTGGAGATTACAGAGCAAGTTATTTACTCTAAGAAGTTCATTTATTGTTAACCCCAAAGAAGATAAACTTGATCATCAGAAAGTCTCATTAAAATAAAACTATGCTGTGTTTAATTTAGTGAGTCAGTACATATAACCTTTTCTTAAAGTTGTTTGATTTCTCAGCACTTAAATATGTAAGGATACTGTTTTGGGATCTGTGAGAGAAGAAATTCCTAAGTCCTTGCACTTGTTTAACAAAGCATCTGGCTTTCCCAGAGCATTCTGATATTTGTCAGAACTGGTTTAATCATGGTTTTTTTGTTGTTCGTTTTGTTTTTGTTTTGGAGGGCTCTGCCTGGATTCTGTGACCTTTGGGAGTCCCTTGGAGGTCCGTGACAAAGAGAAAAGGAATTCCCAAGTCCAGCCTCACCCAAGCCCTGATTAGCTTAATCAGGTTACTGGTTAGTTCTTTCACTAAGCCTCCAGTTGCATTTTTCAGTTAATATATCATTTGTAGAGAATCTTTAGATATTCCTATTGATATTGTAGACTAAAGAAAATTATTAACTCAATAACTTATGGAATTTCCATGAAATACTTTGAAATCCTGACTGTGATGAGAATTATGGCGGTCATTTTATAAAGAATATTCACTTGTTTCCAAGCATCTGGATTGAGACCAGTGAATTATTTTGTAACAATTTTCTGAATGAACCCCAGGGTGAATTAAGTTTAGTTATCTGGGACTCCAAAATCAGGGATATGGAGGCAAACATCCAATCTCACAACTCAGAGCATTTCCTTGATTTCCCTTTTCAGTTTCATGGACAGTAATCTAATTTTTAAGAGGCAACAAATAGCCCAATAGAGCCATGAGAACTCACCATGTTTTGGACATTCTCTTCAGTAATATTGGTGTTATAATTCCAAGAAGCAAGTGAACTTTGATAGAACAAGTCTTCGGCTTCGTGGTTAAACTTGTCCAAAAATGTCTTGGCCTGTTCCTCAATGGTGGACTGAGCAGCAGTTACAGCAACAAGGCTGAGAAGGAGCCAGGAAGAGCCTGACATCGTCCCCTGTGAGCCAAGATCACATCCACTGAATGACTTTCCCTAGACTAAAACCTCCTCATGAGATTTTCTCTCTTATCAGCCTTTGAACTTGGGTTGGGCACTGAGCAGGAAAGACCAAAAAAAGAAAAAGAAGAGCACAGTAAACAATCTGCTGAACCAACATAAAGTTCATCCTGGAGAGGACAGATATGTAACAGATTTTAGAATAATTTTTTAAAGTAAATCAAATAAGAAAACGTTATTCTTTAATCCTAGAGAACCTTACCTCTCCTGTCACTTTATGGCCAAATCAAAACCGGTACTTTTGGTTAATGTTTTCCTAGAAAGCTGTTAAAGATACATGGGAAATGTTATAATTTTACAGTGACCAAAGAGGTCTAGAATTAGGGATCATGAAGATAATGTTGGTGTTTGTATGGTTTTCAGACAATTTCATTAATAGTCAGTTATCTCTCATTTATTTTTATTTCAAGATCATATTCACAGACTCTCTACTTGGGTAACATTTTCCCCTCAAAATACAAGACTTTGCCCTTGTCTTTATGGAATTCATATTTCTGATCAGTTTTAATTTCCATGGCCATTTTTAAAAATTATGACCACTCTCCACTCCGCAGGTCAACTCTCCTGATCTGCCTTTGCAAAACTCAAAAAAGCTCATTTCCTGTTTCTCACACTGGTTCTATGGCTGACTTCTTTGAGTGCCTCCTTCTCTTTCACTTACCTATTCAAAACTCAGTCAAGGTCACGTGGAAGTAAGAAAGCCTCCACACGGTATGAAATCCAAAGAGTGTCTATGTCAACTCCTGATCCTCTGTAGCCATGGGATCACAACAATATAGAATTCAAAGAGATTTTAGTGGTTATCTTGTTAAATTTCAGACGCGAGCTCAGTGTCCTCATTACTAGAGTGTATGTATGAATGCCACAGATCAAAGAGAGGAGCACTTTAAATGGCAGGGTTCAAGGGCCTACTTGACGATGATTGTGAAACTTTGACACAGAGAAAATATTTCTTCACTCAGAAAAACAAGTCTTCCAGGTTCAGGTGACATTGCAATAATCAAGCCTTTAAAAAAATGTCCATTGCTTTTCCTTATTCCAAAGTTGTGTGTATTACTGTAGAATAGGAAAAAAACAATTATAAGTAACTATTCAAAGTGCTTTGTGTTATAATATCTCATTTGAGCATGACAAGAAACCTATAGGCAAATATTTTATCACCATTTTATGAATTATGAAACTAAGTTTAAGTAAATTGCTATATCTCACTCAGCTAACAAATGATGGAATCAGAACATGGATCTATGTACTCTGATTCTACAGTATAGGCTCTTAATGAAGTTGTGGTCAACAGTCTAAAAGCAATAATGGAGGCATAGATAAAGTGTGACAGAGGGCCTTGTGCCTCAGTGAAGATGATAGATTTAGTTATGCTGCATCAAAAAGAGGTGGACTCTTACTTCCCTTGATGTGAATCAAAATATACTCTCCTTTTAAGAAATAAAGCAGTTCACAAATATAAGTAATAATAATAAAAAATTTTAAATGAAAGTGAGATGAGGGTAAAAACAAAATCAGTGCAGAAATTTCAGAAAGGCTCCTCCCACATTCCAGGAAGCCTAGATCCACTCACTTCTTGCACATATTAGGAGAAAAAACAGGCAAGAAAGAGGACAGCACATGAGTATCTGAACAAAAAGTTGAAATGTGACTGTAATAAAAGCGGAAATAAATTTCTACACAGGTAAGTTCCTGAATGAAACACGTGGATTTAGTGGAAAAAATGGGAGTAGTCCAAATTCAATTCACTGAGGCAGAAAATACGATTAACTTGATCAAACTGAAACGGAGAAAGCAAGATGTAAAATCTGAAAGCTAAGAATAAATGAACAAGGAGCCTGGGATAGCAATGAGGCAGGAAAATGCTAGAAGCCAAGAAACTTTGAGAAGCAAGGGAAAAGGGAGAATTGTCTACAGTGATTCTGTAGAAAAACCAGCCCAGAATGGCCAACTGCAAGCACTGACTGAATTACTGGAATTTTTGTTCACACTTTTTTGAGAAGATGTCAATGTTCTGATAGTTCCCCAGAAGCATTCTCTCTAAACCCATTCCGAGAATGGAAAGAATTCACTGAAGACCCAGGGGATGAGACCCAGAAAGACAATTGGCCTAAAGGAAAGTATTGTCTTTGAGAAAAAAATGGAGAATCAGAAAAAATTAGAAGACCAAAGACGCAGGAAAGATGTTCTATGTTTCAAAAAGATTGGGGGAGGGAGTGGATATCATAATGGTAAAGCGAAGTTTGACCTTAACACCTAGTAAAGCTATAAAGTAAAATTTTTAGAATGTGGTTTGCACTTGGAAAAATGTATCTCTGGTCCATTAGGAATTCACTAGGAATAAGTCAGATGCTGCCTGCCCTATCTCCTCTCTGATAGAATATAATAGTAAAAAAATATATCCAAAGACATAGCGTATCTTCCTTTTCAATAAGGGATTTAACAAAACGTAAAATGCCATGACTAGATCCAAATGTCCCCTGAAACAATCACACAGTACAGGATTAGGCAGTCCTCTGATAAACAACAATTCATGTCCAAAACAACAAGAATCTTGCGTCAATCATTGTTTATTGACTACCTACTGTATGCCAAACACTATTCTAGATATTGAACATAAGCTAATAAATATTGTATTATATTAGGTGAGAATAGAGGGAAGACAAAAATAGTTAGTGATAAATGCCATGACTTATAATAAGTAAGAAATGGAGGATAGAGAATCATGGGGTGGGGAGAGGGATTTTCTATAAGGAGGGCCTCTCTGAGAAGGTGACATTTGAGCAGAGACCCGAGAGAAGTGATGAAAGCTGTGCGGATCTCTGGGTGAAGAAGTTTTCCTAGACAGAGGGAGCAGCAAGTGTAAAGGATGCAGGCAGATTTCAAGAACATCAGAGATCTTTGTGACTGGAGCTCAGTGTGCAGGGGAAAGTGGCAGGAGGTGAAGTCCAGGAAGAAGCTAGGGTCGCACCAGGAGAGTCTTAAAAACAATTAACTGTGAAACTTTAGCTTTACTCTCAGCAACATGGGAAGACACTGGAAGGCTTCAAGCAGAGAAGTGATCTAGTAGAAGCCTTAGCAGGGTCACTTTGGTTGCTGCTTAGAGAATAGACACTAAAGGGGTAAGGATGGAAGCAGGGAGACTAGTTAGTGAGCTACTGTAGCAGCCCAGTCTAGCTGGTTGAATAAAAGCTTAGTATGAGCTTCAAGATCCAACTAGGAGGCCCAGTAAAAAGTACTGGGCCTATAAGTACATCTTATACTATATTAGACTTTGTTAATATAAGCATTAGATACAAAATAATCTAGACTATCACATTCATTTCTGTGAACCACAATTTTAGAGACACACAAGAGAGTATCCATGGATCTAAAATAATAAAATTTGGAGAATGGTTTAGATATGGAAGAGAAGACAGGGTGGATGGCTTTCCTCTATCACGGTACTGTCATTTAGAAGAAGACTTGGCATGGTGGATTTACTCTGCCACTTGTTAGCTGTGTGACTTTAGGCAGGTAATATCGTCCGTGCACCTAATTTATTTCAAAGCCAATGATAGTTCTATATCCATTTCATAGGGATGTCATATTATATGAATTAATACATAAAAACACAGAGAGTGATGCTGTAAGCCTAGTAATAAAAGCCACTGAAAATGAAACGAGCTGTGTAATAATTAGGGAACTTCCACACTGGAATGTTTAATCAAGCCATCTGCAAGGTCATCTTTCAAAGACACTGCAGCAGACAGAGATTGGCTGGGAGTTTGACTCAAAGGTCTATTTGGACTGTAGGATCCTGCATTGTAGGAGAATTCTGCTAGTCTGTGCTGAAACAGCAGGATGGAGGAGCTCACCAATGGGATGAGTAGTCATACATGAAAGGAAAGGGGAGTCAGCCAGCAGTCTACGTGAGCCCAGCCATGGAGAACCTCTCAGCGTGCTTTCATCGCCCAATCGTGGTCAGGTCCTCGTATAAAACTTCCTACATACAGAGAAGAGAAAACTTGAGTCTGTCACACTATCTTGAGGAAGAAGGGGAAAGTCATAAAGGTAAATGACTCCCTCTCAATATTTACAGATGTTGTATCTGTTGGTCGCATATGCTTTGTACCTGGTCTGGTACATAAACTCTTCATAACAACTTTACAGGTAGAAATAGTGATATCCATTTTATAATTAAGGAAACCAAATGTTCCTATGATTAATTCAAACTTCCACAACTGATAGGCAATGGGGCTGCATTTTGATCCCAGATGTCTTAAGAGACCTTTTCTCTCCACAGAGTCATGGGTTCAGTTATCCGCTAACTTCATGTATGTCTAATAAGTCCTCATCAATCTGTCATATTCTGAGAAGAGGCAGGCCCGCACAAGCAAAATTAAAATGTACTGCTTTGATTACACCAGTTATACATTTTTAAACCATTTTAGGTAGAAATTTTTCTTCAATATATTCCATCCTGTTCGGGATGTTGCCTGGACATTATTTTAGGGTTATTTTTCAGATGACTCAGTGTCATCATCTTAAATAATATTTACTGGCTAAACTATAATGTGACAATGTCTTCAAGGCTTTACATTAAATGGCTCAACAGCTTTATTGCTATAATTCTGCTGTTTCTGCACATTCTGAGTTCACAGTCACAGTATCAACTTTTAGTAGCCCTGCCCTCCACAAGTCCCCTCCCTGTTTCTGATCTGCTATCTGCTAAAACCTAAATGGAAACTAGATAACCATGGAGTTCAACTAGAAACCTCCCTTTTCATAGGCTGAAATCTGAGGGTGGGTCTTTATTCTGCTAGAGCAAAGTACATAGACTTTGAAATCCATATTTCCCTTGCTGTTCAACTTTTTATATCCTTCCAACTGAGTCACAAATGGTGAGGTTGCCAAATAGCTATAGGAGAAACCTCTTCCAGTTCCCCAAGTTGGGTGGATAACTTCAGTAAACATCAGAAAAGAAAGGATGTTTTGTTCAATTTCTTATTGATTAATACTGCTGACAGAACAAGAAACGGTATCAGGAATACAACGCACAGAGAAATTCAAAACTTTGCATGGTCAAGAACTATTTACATTCAGTACAATTGATTTTGACCACATGTTTATCACACAAAGTGAATTTATAAGTGCTTTACAGAAAATAAATAACAAGATGGCCTTTCAAGCCCGAAACAAAAGCTAAAGCTCTTTCCTGTTTACATTTTTAGTTGCATAGCAGTCCCTTTTTTCCTAAATGTAAAAAGTAAGGTAGAGGTTCCTCTTCAAAGACTTTCCTCCCTGTCTAATTAGGAATAAATAATAACTTTTCTTAGAAGCAAAATTCATTCAAAAACCTGTGTTAACATTCTTAAATATCTGCTAGCCATAATAAAAAAAATCAATGTACTTTATGCTCTTAGCCCCCACAATTTAACCTAAATATTTTCCCTGGCATCCTTAATACTGCTCCAAACAAGCATTAGGTCATAGCCTGTTCCTGTTCCTTATTTGAAGGGGTTTTTACCTTTCTCAACATTCCACAAGTTACTTCCTCCTTCCTTTGTTCTCCTCTGCCTTTGCCTCTTTGAAAAAGTTCTAAGTTGCTAGCCAATCAAGACAAACACAAAATGTGAGGTCCCGTTCCAGCCAATAAAAACCAGACACAACAGTAGGGTAGACGCGTCAAGTTATTTATAACCCTATCTCCTTTGTTCGGTATACTCTCGTAACAAAACTACTGGCAAGTGGACCCTTTCTACAGAAAGTATAAAAATAGCCTTACTAAAAAAATTAAATCTATGTTCAAATACTATTTCTTTATGGCACCAGAAAACAAACATTTCAAACACTAAAGATACAGCAAAGATAATCTTCATTAACCAAATTGATAAATAGTTTCAATAGACAGAGTTCAAATCTGTAAGAATAAACATTGGATTCCAAGAAGGTTATACTGATTGTTACTGGCCTGAATTTACGATAGTACAGTGTTTGCCACAGTAACCCTAATTTATTTTGATACCTACACTGTACAAAATATCAGGTAGCACTAGAGCAAGGAAATCACTAGTATAAATTTACATCTAAGACTTTAGAAGCAAAACATGAGCATTTATCCTAAGTGAGATGGGATGCATGGTAGAATTTGAACAGAAGAGTTACACAGTACCACTTACATTTAAAAGAAATCCTGGGCCAGGCACAGTGGCTCACACCTGTAATCCCAACACTTTGGGAGGCCACGGCGGGAGGGTCTCTTGAACCCAAGAGTTCAAGACCAGCCTGGGCAACACGGCAAAACCCCGTCTCTACTAAAACTACAAAAAATTAGCCAGGTGTGGTGGTATGTGCCTGTAGTCCCAGCTACTTGGGAGGCTGAGGTGGTAGGATCATGTGAATCCAGGAAGTTGAGGCTGCAGTGAGCTGTGATCACACCATGGAACTGCAGCCTGGGCGACAGGAGTGAGATCCTGCCTCAAAAAAAAAAAAAAAAAAAAAAAAAGGAATCCCTCTGGCCACTATATGGAAAACAAACCACATGTAGGGCAAGACTACAGGCAGAAGGACCACTGAGGAAGCTATTGCAATAATCCAAATGAAATATAATGGTGGCTTGGTGGTAACAGTAGAGTTGATGAGACGTGATTGGATTTTTAATACATTTTAAAAGTAAAGCAAACAAGATTTGCTGGTGAATTGGATGTAGGCTATGAAAGAAAGTAAAAGACACTCCAGGATTTTTGGATTGAACAACTAGAAGCAGGTTGCTGGTAAAATAGGCTTAAAGGGAAGACTGGAAGTTTAGTTAGGTTTATGATATCTATTGGCAACCCAAGTGTAGATGTTGAGAAGGCAAATCTGGAGTTTGGCAGAGAGGTCAAGGATGGAGATACAAATTTTAGAATTCTCAGCTAGAGATGGTTAGTCAAATATTGTCTCTCAGCTAAACTAAAAAGAAAAGATCTTACCTCTTCAAAATCCCAGTATACTGAAAATTATTGAAGTCTAGACCTCAGGAGGGAAATTGGAAGGATAAATAGGGGGGGAAAGTTACTTGAAACAACTCTCCTTAGAAGAGCCATCTGTGAACAGAGACCTCAGAAATAAAACCACACGTCTACAACCATCTGATCTTTGACAAACCTGATAAAAACAAGCAGTGCGGAAAGGATTCCCTATTTAATAAATGGTGCTGGGAAAACTGACTAGCCATATGCAGAAAACAGAAAGCCGACCCCTTCCCTACACCTTTTACAAAAATTAGCTCAAGATGGATTAAAGACTTAAATGTAAAACCCAAAACCATAAAAACCCTAGAAGAAAACCTAGGCAACACCATTCAGGACTTAGCCATGGCAAAATATTTCATGACTAAAACACCAAAAGCAATTGCAACAAAAGCCAAAATTGACAAATGGGATCTATTTTTTTTTCTCTTTTTGAGATGGAGTTTCACTCTTGTTGCCCAGGCTGGAGTCCAATGACACGATCTCGACTCACTGCAACCTCTGCCTCCCAGGTTCAAGCGATTCTAATGCCTCAGCCTCCCTAGTAGCTGGGATTACAGGTGTCCACCACCACGCCCAGCTAATTTTTGTATGTTTTTAGTAGAGACGGGGTTTCACTATGTTGGCCAGGATGGTCTCAAACTCCTGACCTCAGGTGATCCACCCGCCTCAGCCTACCAAAGTGCTGGGATTACAAGCGTGAGCCACCACGCCCAGCTCAACAAATGAGAACTAATTAAAGAGCTTCTGCACAGCAAAAGAAACCATCCTCAGAGTGAACAGGCAATCTACAGAATGGGAGAAAATTTTTCCAATCTATCCATCTGACAAAGGTCTAATATCCAGAATCTACAAGGAGCTTAAACAAATTTATAAGAAAAAACAAACAACCCCATCAAAAAGTGGGCAAAGGATATGAACAGACACTTCTCAAAAGAAGACATTTATGTGGCCAACAAACATATGAAAAAAAGCTCATCATCACTGGTCATTAGAGAAATGCAAATCAAAACCACAATACGATACCATTTCATACCAGTTAGAATGGCGATCATTAAAAAGTCAGGAAACAACAGGTGCTGGCAAGGCTATGGAGAAATAGGAACGCTTTTACATGCTGGTGGGAGTGTAAATTAGTTCAACCATTGTGAAAGACACTGTGGCAATTCCTCAAGGATCTAGAACCAGAAATACCATTAGACCCAGCAATCCCATTACTGGGTATATACCCAAAGGATTATAAATCATTCTACTATAAAGACACATGCACATGTATGTTTACTGCAGCACTATTCACAATAGCAAAGACTTGGAACCAACCCAAATTCCCATCAATGATAGAATGGATAAAGAAAATGTGGCACATATCTACCATGGAATACTATGCAGCCATGAAAAAGAATGAGTTCATGTCCTTTGCAGGGACATGTATGAAGCTGGAAGCCATCATTCTCAGAAAACTAACACAGGAACAAAACAAAACAAAACAAAAAAAAAACACCACATGTTCTCACTCATAAGTGCGTGTTGAACAATGAGAACACATGGACACAGGGAGGGGAGTATCACACTCTGGGGCCTGTCGGGAGGTAGGGGGGTAAGGGGAGGGAGAGCATTAGGACAAACACCTAATGCATGTGAGCCTTAAAACCTAGGTAATGGGTTGATAGGTGCAGCAAACCACCATGGAACATGTATATCTATGTAACAAACCTGCACGTTCTGCACATGTATCCCAGGACTGAAAAAGAAAAAAAAAAAAGCCATCTGTGGAGTGAACAGGAAAGAGAAACAGGAGTTTCAGGATCTTCGCCAGAGCATCGTAGTCCTCACTGGTTTATGGCAAAGTAGAAACATCTCAGAAGCATAGGGTGGTTAAATTGAGACAAGGTGCCAGTTCAGGAAAGTCAGCTGACATGACAGATAGTCAAAGTCAAGGGCTTAGACCCAATACAGGTCAAGGTTGCAACATTGGTGGGCATTTAAGGCATAGAA